AAAGGCCACTTAACAAGACAGATCAAGAAATGTGAAGATTTGTCACAACAATCAACAGTTGATTATGCTGACCTGGAAAGCTATTATCAAGCAGCTGCAGGTAAATTTGAGCAAATCAAATGCCAAATGGCTGTCCTTGTGGGGACAGACTACTACCATCAATTCATCGGTAGCCCTACTAAATATCAGGGTATAACCATGTTAAACTCTGCAGGAGGTAAATTACTCTCAGGCCCAGTATCAAGCCTGAGGAGACCTATGCCTGCAGATAAACAATACCAGTAGAAACCTAAATTTGTCAGCTGATTATATTTCTCCAGTAGCATTATACTAAGGAGATTACAGCTGACTATACCAACAGAGGTTGATGTTAGTATCATCATTTGAAGCTGAAGATGAGTTCATGAGGCTTCAGTGGCAAATCAGTGAACAGTAGCCTAAAACAGCTACAAGTCACTGCGACCAATGTCACTGAACCCACTGCAGTCTCAGAACCATACTTTACTTTAATGATGAGCTATTCAATCTTCTGAATCAATTAACTAAATTAAACCCCAATAAATCTGATGACTGATTTGATACATTTATTATTTAATCAAGATGTATTCCATGGGCCTCAGTGTTTATATATCAGTGACCAGTTACCTGAAGAAACTTCAAGTTATATCTAATGTCACTGATCTCACTGCAGTCCCTGAATCATACTTGACTGTAGTACTTGATCACATTCAGTCTTCTGGGTTAAATAATATGTAATAAGGCTTGAATATTAGCCTTTCAAGAGTTGACAGGGAAATGAAATCGCATTAGACTTCTAACCCCTGCAACTCTAGTACGGGACATCCGTCCTGTACGAACAGACACACAAATGTGTGATTACTAACTACTAACATCAAATTAATGTAATAATTCGAAGGAGGAGTATCGGTGTTCGTCTGTTCTAAACAGGACTTCGACCCGTGAGCAGCCCCCTGGGGAATTATGTCGGAAAATCCGACACCATTTAATATATCATACAGATAATAGCTGTATTACCAACAAGTTACCCATAGAAAACGTAACTTGTAGTGGAATTACCGTCTATAGAAAACGGGATATCATCACCACATACTATTATAATTCACCAGCTATTCTGCTGGGAATTATTCTTAAATACATAAGTCTTTGGACTTTACCATCATAAAAACATCTTATATAAATTAACTTAATTATCAATATTAAAGTAGAGTAAATGTGACCCTTCTATCACGTTCTGAAATCTGGACAATGTAAGCCAGGCGTCAGAGTGGAGGAAGGAGGGCAGCCATTGTTGTTATACGAGACCAGAGGCTCACACGGGAGCAAATTCGGCTCCTGTTAAATTTACTTGGACGTAGTGTTATGGAGGCCAAAGGTGTACCATTGTCAACACGCTGTCTACAAATTCAAGTTAAGTCTATCCGAAACCCGTTTATCATTCATTTATGGCCATTAATGTCAGGATATAGGGTGACCCGGTTAGATCGCGAAATCGCCTCAAACTAAAGGTAATTAAGCCAGGTCTTCATGTTCCATGTACTGTTTTCTCTGATATACTTGTCATATATAGGTATCTGGCTTCACAGCTAGCGCACTTTTGACAGGTCAAGACGAGGATGCAAGATTTTGTGCACCAGTTACTGGGTGATATGGAAGCTACCTCAAAGAGGATAATTTGGTGTCTACACCCTAGTTATACCTGGTGGACTAACCTGCTGTACTATAAGATAAGGAACCTCATCAATGTATGTAGCTATTACTGTAGTTTGATTGGCTGCATATATATATAAACTATTAAACCCCCCCTAATGTGTAGAGGATCGATTTGTGAGATTATGAGATTATTGCAGAAATACAGTCCACTTATCATTATACAAATTGTTATCGAAGTATATAAATTAACGTAAATATAAATTCATATAAATTAAATAAATATAAATCTCACAGGTCGGTTCCCACACCTGACACTGTCCAACATCACGACCACTTCCTCACCTGACACTGTCCAACACCACGACCACACACACTGACACCCGAGCTGGTCTCTTCCCATGAAAGTCCGGTGCCAAGGCACGCCAGGAACGCTGTCCCATCATCATGAGCCTTCTACTGTGGCGTCAGGTGTGGCGTCAGGTGTGGCGTCAGGTGTGGCGGGCCAGAACACGTGACCCCGCCCTCACTCAGAGACTTATATACAGGACTCTAGCACAGGTGGCGTCAGTGGTCCTCGTCTGCCGCCGGCGCTGTCATGAAGGTATGGTAAACAGCAGTCCGTCGCGTTGAATATGTTCGAAGTCAAATACTAACTTATTTAGAACTATGTAAATCTGTTGCTTACTTCTAATTCTCTTTTAACATGTTTGAAGTTATGATTCGAAGTGTGCTTCGTTCACTTTCAGTCAGTATTTCACACTGTATAACATATTAATTACTTGACTTGTTTCCTGTGTGGATGATACATTGTAAAAAGGTGGCTGCAAGGTGTATATACACCGAGATGAGTACCCAGCTTCTTAGTGAATATACACTGAGAGTATACTTTACTCCTGGACTATGTTCTGGGCTGAAGTATACTTGCTGGTTGGTCAGTAAGCAGTTTGGTGGCGTCAATAACCCTCCCGCAGTTGATATAGGTCTTAAGCTTAACACCAATCCAAGGTACGGTCATAATCCACAGAAAGCACTAAGCCACTACGACTGTGTAGCCGTTGGAAGGATGAGGACGAGGATTTAGGATAGGACAGAATAGTGCCCATCCACGTGGACTGTCGGGGATTGAACACCGACCTGTATATAACGAGACCGTCGCTCTACCGTCCAGCTCAAGTGGTTGGGCACACCAAATCAAAAGAGCTAATATTTGAACTCGTATGGTTGACATATTCAAAATAATCGGCTTAATCAGCTACACAATAATAATAATAACTAAGTTCACGATAGAACGCTGAGAGAGAACGGTGTGGTTCACCTCAACGCAGGACTGACTTAATTAAAAAAAATAGCGGCATGTACTTCGACATCAATATTTAGCATTCTTATTTAGTACTCTTATTTTAAATATGTTCTTATTTAGCATATGTTTTTTAATTGTTAAGACACGTATTAAGGTATAGTGATACCAAACAGTTTGACGGAGTAACATTTCTGAGTGAATCAAACATTGCAGTAATCTTACACATTGAATATATGATTTTGTTTAATCTGCGACACGTGATGAAGCTTTATCTGAATGTCCTGATTGTACTTATCTCCATCAGCCGCTGCCTCTGGTACTCCTGACGGTGGTGGGGGTTCGAGCGGGCTCTCAGAGCAGCTACGGTGCCCCAGGGCTCGGGGGGTCAGGTCCTCAGAGCAGCTACGGTGCCCAAAGGCTCGAAGGGTCAGGTCCTCAGAGCAGCTACGGTGCCCCAGGGCTCGAAGGGTCAGGTCCTCAGAGCAACTACGGTGCCCCATGGCTCGAAGGGTCAGGTCCTCAGAGCAGTTACGGTGCCCCAGGGCTCGGGGGATCTGGAGGGCGGCCTGACCAGTACGACTCCGCCCCTGCCGCTTACAACTTCAAGTGGGACGTCAATGACGCATCCTCAAGCAACTTCTACGGCCAGAATGAAGACAGACAAGGAGCGGGCACCCAGGGCAGGTGAGACGACGAACACAGACGGCTCTGGATCACAACCGCATTCTGAACATTTATCGTTGATGCTTGCGTGCTTGCAAGGGGAGTGGTAAGGAAGGAGATAAGCTAGTAGGGTAGTTTCCTGGAGATTTTTATCAGGAGCACACAAGACATACACACACACACACGGGGTCCACTCACTCCATGGCTCCAGCCATGAGGCAGGAGTTAGTGGCCTCACTTGTACCTGTGTCACCAGGGACATAGATGCTCTGGGATTAGAGGATATTCAATCATACATCAGATTCAGTGGCTGCCATATTGTTTTATTTATGAATATAACAAACTAAATTATTATTACCCTATAAAGCTTGAAATTTAGTCCATCACCATGCTTAGATGGTGACCATCATCATGCTTATATATATATATATATATATATATATATATATATATATATATATATATATGCACAGACTACCCTATTCCAGTAGCTGAAGTTTATAACTTTTTAGACACTCAACCCACCAGGAGACTCGAACACTGGCCAACAAGGTGGCAGTTGCATGCTGTATCCACTACGCTATACTTCAAAGCCATAAGAGAGGTAGGAATTCTGGGGTATTTAACCAACCAGAAATTCCAATCCTCTCCCAGGCGATGAGATAGTGTGGGACCTCGGATGCTCTTTCATCGGTTCCTGTTATATGGGAAAACTCAGTGCCAAATGCTTAATGCTTTAAGGCATTAAGCATTTGGCACTGAGTTTTCCCATATAACAGGAACCGATGAAAGAGCATCCGAGGTCCCACACTATCTCATCGCCTGGGAGAGGATTGGAATTTCTGGTTGGTTAAATACCCCAGAATTCCTACCTCTCTTATGGCTTTGAAGTATAGCGTAGTGGATACAGCATGCAACTGCCACCTTGTTGGCCAGTGTTCGAGTCTCCTGGTGGGTTGAGTGTCTAAAAAGTTATATATATATATATATATATATATATATATATATATATATATATATATATATATATATATATATATATATATATATATATATATATATATATATATATATAAATTTATAAATGAACCTAAACTAATAGACATTTACAAGATGGTTTTATCGTCTTCCAAGTCAGATGAATCTTATGGTTTAAGAGACTAATTTCCCTCCACAAAATTCATCCCTCTTCCTTCGCTGCTTGTCCTCACATTCCTTCCAAGTGCTATATAGTCACATCAGCTTAGTACTTTCTCTTGATAATTGCTCGTTTTATTGTTCCTGTAGACACACACCGCCGGGCTCTGTCTGCCCGCGAGACCCTCCAAGCGCCCCCTGGTAACTAAACTTTCCCCTCCTCCCGTAGCTACTACGTGCAGCTCCCCGGCAATCGTCGCCTGAAGGTGGAATACTCCGTCGACGACTCCGGTTTCCGCCCCGTCGTCACCTACGGGGCGGGAGGCCAAGGTTCCGACGGTGGTCAAGGATACTCTTGAGACAGCACCAGCGCCACCACATAGCTCGGCCTACCTCAGCGCCAGCAGAGAGCTATGGTCGGCCTACCTCAGCGCCAACACAGAGCTATGGTCGGCCTACCTCAGCGCCAGCACAGAGCTATGGTCGACCTACCTCAGCGCCAGCACACAGCTATGGTCGGCCTACCTCAGCGCCAACACAGAGCTATGATCGGCCTACCTCAGCGCCAGCACAGAGCTATGGTCGGCCTACCTCAGCGCCAGCACAGAGCTATGGTCGGCCTACCTCAGCGCCAGCACAGAGCTATGGTCGGCCTACCTCAGCGCCAGCACAGAGCTATGGTCGACCTACCTCAGCGCCAGCACAGAGCTATGGTCGACCTACCTCAGCGCCAGCACAGAGCTATGGTCGGCCTACCTCAGCGCCAGCACAGAGCTATGGTCGGCCTACCTCAGCGCCAGCACAGAGCTATGGTCGGCCTACCTCAGCGCCAGCACAGAGCTATGGTCGGCCTACCTCAGCGCCAGCACAGAGCTATGGTCGACCTACCTCAGCGCCAGCACAGAGCTATGGTCGACCTACCTCAGCGCCAGCACAGAACTATGGTCGACCTACCTCAGCGCCAGCACAGAACTATGGTCGACCTACCTCAGCGCCAACACAGAGCTATGATCGGCCTACCTCAGCGCCAGCACAGAGCTATGGTCGGCCTACCTCAGCGCCAGCACAGAGCTATGGTCGGCCTACCTCAGCGCCAGCACAGAGCTATGGTCGGCCTACCTCAGCGCCAGCACAGAGCTATGGTCGGCCTACCTCAGCGCCAGCACAGAGCTATGGTCGACCTACCTCAGCGCCAGCACAGAGCTATGGTCGACCTACCTCAGCGCCAGCACAGAACTATGGTCGACCTACCTCAGCGCCAGCACAGAACTATGGTCGACCTACCTCAGCGCCAGCACAGAGCTATGATCGGCCTACCTCAGCGCCAGCACAGAGCTATGGTCGGCCTACCTCAGCGCCAGCACAGAGCTATGGTCGGCCTACCTCAGCGTCAGCAGAGAGCTACAGCAGGCCCGCAGCACCTACTCCCCAGCTGACTTACCAGCAGCCACCCCAGACACTCTCTAACACATTCCTTCTCCCCGTGTAGGAGGAGTTCCGATGAGCACTCTGGCAATGTCTTCGTCGCCAGGCTGTGTTTACTCTGCTCTCGTAATTTTATCATTACCAATTGTAATATTGCAAACAGAATTTAGGTACCTTTTTAACATTCGAGTTCGGATGACGCCTCGTACTTAAACGATGAGAAAGGTTCACCAGCCTGTCACTAAGGTCTTCTCCCTCACCCTGAGTGAAGGACTCCAGCCTGTCACTATATATTTTTATTAATGATCCTCTTTACTTTTCGATGAACATTTGTTGCATTGTTTTATTAGTTTTGTTATTTCGTTATTGTTGTGTTCCAGAACTTGTGATTTATGGAACAAAAACTTTATATAAATAAATCTTTAGCAGTTAGCTGGACATAATTATTTCCTCGTTAACCTCCACCTATTGTACAGGACCGACTCAAGTGAGGCTGTTTCTTTCACCTGATGGGCATGTTCACCTAGCAGTAAATAGGTAGCTGGAAGTTCGACAGCTGCTAAGGGCTGTATCCTGGGGATGAGTGTGAGTGTGAGAGAGAAAACATGTATAGATAAAATGGAAGAAAAATGGGGTCGGAATTGAGTCAGAACATTAGGCAACCGAAGGTTAGAATGGCGGGGTCCAAGAGCTAACAGCTCCATCCTGTAGGCAGAAATAGTAAATACTAACAGTAAATACACACATATCTATGCCTAAACATACCAGACTTATGTATCTTTACATGAAGTACACAAATACATAAGTGTGAGTCTTTATCATAAGTCTCTATATAGTAGGCATCCATCAGTCTCAGGAGACTATGGAGTTGCGCTCTGGTTGTCGGTCTGGAGTGGCCTCTCCAGGGCGTAAAGCCAGGCTAGGTTGATGCGGGAAAGAAGCTGTCACCCATGCAGCAGGTCCCCCCCCCCCTCTCCACGGCACCGAAAGTCTCCAATGGAAAGTCAAACGCCAATATGATTGGTTCCAGCGCCGTCGCAGGAACTGTCAGAACCAGGTTGAGGGAAGCCTTATCCTTTAACTATTTACTGCTAGGTTAAGGGAAGCCTCAAGTGTAAGGAGACGTGGCCAAGTATTTCCTCCTGCACAGGAATCGAACCCGGGACCAGTCGGTCGTGAACAAATAAATTGCCCTTTCTCAGTATTTCAAAACAATTAAACTTGATTATATTTGTTTGTGGTTTATAATACTGTATTCATACATTTTTCGTTTTGATTCTATTTACTAAATATCCTAACTTCAATAAAAAAAATCTTATTTATTGCATAATTACATTATAATAATTGAGAAGACACAATTATCTCCTCATTCCATTCAGTTATTATTATTATTAGTAGTAGTAGTAGTATTAGTATTTTTTGTCTGACTAGAGAGGTGAGTTTGGAGAGGTGGTAGAATGTTCCAAGGGCTATGTTGCCCAACTGGCTTCGCCATCTCCCCCTCGCATTTACCTCACCTTGCGTCCTTCTGGGCCACCATCACCCAGACGCTAACACCATCACACCACACTGCCACAACACCACATCCACCACAGCACCTCATTCACCACAGCAACGCCACCACATCCGCCACAGCACCACCACATCCGCCACAGCACCACCACAACCACCAACAATCACACCACCACCACCATCAACCTCTCAGATCCGTGTCGACTGACAATTCATCACAGTGTTTTCAGGTCCATTCACAGTGGCCTCTTTACCTCTTCCTTCACACAGCTTCCCACGCCATTGTGACTGACTTCGGGAGGCTGCAGTGATTGAAGGATGCCTCACGCAGCCTCTCACAACGAAACACGTACATCTCTATAGCTTTTAACTCACGTGATATAAGGCACCTGATCTCTCTTGCAACTATATTCTACCACTTGAAATATTCGTATTCAATCACATGTTGTATCTACACTCCATCCCATATATCCACACTTTACCATGTTATATTGAATTCACACCCATGGTCCTGGCTGTGGTCCTTCACTGGACTACAGGAAGGGAGCAATAGCAGGTGGAACAGGGGCAGGAAGCAACAGGAGGAACAGGGGGCAGGAAGCAACAGGAGGAACAGGGGGCAGGAAGCTACAGGAGGAACAGGGGGCAGGAAGCTACAGGAGGAACAGGGGGCAGGAAGCAACAGGAGGAACAGAGGGCAGGAAGCAACAGGAGGAACAGGGGGCAGGAAGCTACAGGAGGAACAGGGAGCAGGAAGCTACAGGAGGAACAGGGAGCAGGAAGCAACAGGAGGAACAGGGGGCAGGAAGCAACAGGAGGAACAGGGAGCAGGAAGCAACAAGAGGAACAGGGAGCAGGAAGCAACAAGAGGAACAGGGAGCAGGAAGCAACAGGAGGAACAGGGGGCAGGAAGCAACAGGAGGAACAGAGGGCAGGAAGCAACAGGAGGAACAGGGGGCAGGAAGCAACAGGAGGAACAGGAGCAGGAAGCAACAGGAGGAAGAGGAGCAGTAAGCAACAGGATTAGGAAGTAACAGAAGACCTCAGAGCAAGTCTGGTGTCCGTCACTTAGGACTACAGTACGGTGATTTGGTGAAATACATCTTTAAAAACAATATCAAGTTGCAAAAAAATACATTATTTGAATTAAGTTACAAAGAAAACAGACAAATCACAAAAACCAATATAGAAAGCAGACATCACGACATCAGAAGTTTTCAGGGTGCATTTTTTTCTGCATTCCATCAGCTCTCAGTCCGTCTGGGAGCAATCGAAATGCGCAAGAACCAAATGCTCCATGAAAATGTATGTCGTGATGCCCGCTTTGCATGTAAAGAAAATTGTAGTGGCTCCTCTGAATATTATCGAGAAAGCTGGAATACCTTCACAGAGTAGTTGAGAGGCAAAATGAGAGTGTGTAAGTTATCTTCAAAGACAGTATATCGTGTAGAGCTAAAAAAGGTAATCAGAGAGATGGAGTGGCGCAGAATTTATAAAAAAAAAACTGAAAAAGTGTCAAACACACACACACACACACACAAATCAACAAACAATATTAAAAAAAACACCTGTGTAATTTGTCCAAGCACTCAACACCCTAGTGGGTACGATATCCAAAAGTGGTGTTGGTTCGATGTTCGATATCATTGTTAATTTAATGTTGAATTACCTTTGATACCGTTCCGCCACAAATTATTGTAATTCAGAAAGGCTTCCAATTAATCAGAAAAAAGAGATTTAGTGTATTCTGTGAAGTCTCTCTTATTGTGAAATGATACTAAACTGGTCGTAGGATACTAAACTGGTCGAAGGATACTAAACTGGTCGAAGGATACTGAACTGGTCGAGGTGGTGGTGGAAGTTAATGGTGGAAGTAACAAAGGGGGTGTTTACTTTATTTGGAGGATATAAACTTTGCAACTAAGAGGAAATCTAAAAGACAAGGAGGCATATGACTTTTGACGAACCTGAGAAAAGTTCTAATCAGACGACAGTGAATGGTGACTTTGATACAATGTGATATTATTATGACTTTGCTGGTAAAATTTGCATTTATTGAACTGTACTTCGTATGTTTGTTTCAGAATGTGAGGTCTAAGCTACATTGGTTATAATTATAATTTAGTTTGCTCGTATATAATTTCACAAATTTTACCATTACCGATAAAGCGTTTTCATGCAACTTAAGTTTAAATTGTTCTCCAAATGGATTATTTATAATGCTCCAGTGCGTCCCTGTCTTTATCCACACAGAGAACACCTCACGTGGTCTAGATCCCAATGTAAGCTGAACTGACAGCCAAGTCCCATCGCAGCTGTGACAAAATCTCTCTCATTTGTTACTGGCCCCCATACAAGTGTTTTTGTAAGACGCATCGCACTGTCATAGTGAATACTTTAGTTTCTGTCTGCATTCTTCTGCTTTCTTCAATGTCATTTGAGAGTTCCTTACCAAGACAGTCGTTTCCACACCAGTCACTCATACCACTCCGTCACTCACTAAAGTAGCGGAAAATTGTACGGTCCTCAATATGACCTCACGATAAGTGACTTCTCAAGAAGGGCTGCAGGGAGCTTTTGTAGGTGTTTTGAAGAGCGGACGTCTTGAAGATGTCTTCCCAGCCTACCATGCCCATCTACCCTGGCTACGCTTACATGCTCATCTACCCTGGCTACGCTTACATGCCCATCTACCCTGACCACGCCTACCATACCTACCCCTCGTGTTCATCCCTATCATTTCTAACTCTCCTGCCCTCGCTTATCATACCAACGTCCCCTGATCCTGCCTATCATGCCAATTAACCTCCTTTGCCACGCCTACCAACCTTTAACTTCCCCATGCCAATGGATACCATATCTACCTTCCATGACCACGCCTATCATGCCTAGCTCCCTTCCATGACCACGCCTATCATGCCTAGCTCCCTTCCATGACCACGCCTATCATGCCTAGCTCCCTTCCGTGACCACGCCTATCATGCCTAGCTCCCTTCCATGACCACGCCTATCATGCCTAGCTCCCTTCCGTGACTCCTCTTTTTGTTCCTGCAACCTTCCGTGCATCACAACTTTCGCTGTATAGGTGGCGTGCGGGTGGGGTGGATGAGGCGTGTCGTGACACAAGTGGTGAGAGTCGGCTGCTACTCGAGAGTGTGATAGTCGACGGTGCTTCCTGTATTGTGCATAACTGGCATGTGATTGACGCGAGTCCTCTCTCACGCAGGCACTTGCTGTCATGAGCGCGCGCACGCATGGACGCGCACACACTTTACACACACACACACACACACACAGTCAGGTACATACATTTACGCTGGTAGAATGTATTATTCAAGCTAGATACTGGTAGATACTCGTCCCGTCCTCCTAATAGAGCGTCGCATTTTGACGTATACTCTACCTAAGGCCAACGAATGTCGTACTAGAAAATGGTAGCGACTCGCGAAATTGACATACTGTCCCGTTTTCTGTTGGTGGGTCCTCTGGTAGGTATAGATTAATGCACTTTAGTACGAAAGTTTCAAGACGTTGTGGGGACGCTCACGAGAACGGGTTGGGTGATCGAGGCATTACTATCATTTATGCAAGCAAAACGGGTTCATTATTTTTGTGTTTACAACTGTCTATGTTGTTTCTCACTATGACAAAGTGCTGCTTCATGGCAAATGTAAGGCAGAGGGAATGAGGAGCCGGGAGAGAGTTCTTATTATTTTATGATTATTTTGAAAGAACCTGGAATGAATTATCGGAGGGCTGGGCGTGTTCCTATTCTTAATAGGTTATCAATTCGGAGGCCAATAAGTCATGGCTTTCTCCCCTCTCTCTCTCTCTCTCTCTCTCTCTCTCTCTCTCTCTCTCTCTCTCTCTCTCTCTCTCTCTCTCTCTCTCTCTCTCTCTCTCTCTCTCTCTCTCTCTCTCTCTCTGCTCTCCTTCCTCTCATGAGAGGTTGAGCACTTATGAAACCGCTCTTCCGGACGAAGGTTCATGTGTGTTTTTCTCGTTTTCCGTCAGCTAGAAATTTATTTGACTCAGTGACTCAAGGATGGCAGTAAGTGCCTTCGGTGTCGGGATAAAGGTAAACCAAGTTGTTCAGCGTGTCCCGGACACATTAATGGGCTGCTCGAATTTAGTTAATGCTTTCGTTGTTCTCTGAGGTACTATTAGACTCTTATAATTGCTTCCTGAATATACTTGTCATGTTATCCCAGGGATTATTACTTGGTCAATGAGCCCGTCCTCCGAGCAAATCCATTATTTGGATTTGCTCCCTGAGGACAAGTTGGGCGTCGAACTGTGCCTGTTAAGGTTGATACAAATATTGTTTTCTGAGGTACCATTAGACTCTCTGTCAATACGTTTCCTGTTATGCTCGAGGTAATTAAAGAGCTTATTCCTTTGCCTGTTGGTGAATGGTTGCTCGGAAGATCATTCATCCAAAACTTCCATGTGTTTTCTCCCTAGTGGCTCAGGCGGTAGGCAACCAGGCCCAAGAGTCTTACATGAAAAATCCACTATGAACATGCATGATAACTGAGCACGGTCCTCTCCGGTTTGATCCCTCTTGTTCGGGTATAGTGATTATTATGATAATGCCTCTAAGTTGCAGCGGCTGAAAAGATACCGCCCAGGAGGAAGAAGGATACAACCATAAAGACAGAAGGGCTGTGAGGGGTTAAGGAACTATTGTACATACAGGAAATACATAGTATTTAAGGCAGTAGTTTGGTAAATCACTTCGGGAACTAAATATGGTTTATGTAATGATTGGTCTTATGACAGGCCTTGGATAGACACCCAAAATGACCAAGCAGCCAGTGGGCGTCCGCCACAATGAAGAGTGTGTTAGTACCTGCGGAATACAATACATATTAGGAGGAAGCACAAAGCCAGCATGACTATGTGGCACTTGGAAGGGATACGGAGACAGGATTGGAGAGAGTCTAGGGGGAACGGAACGATGCCCAACCACTTGGACCATCGGGGATAGAACGCCGACCAGCAAGGAGTTAGACCGTCGCTGCACACACTAGTCTATGAGTCTTCAACGTCAAGAAAGTGAATCTATATTGTACAAGATGATATCCCTCCTTACAAAACTCACCCTTTAGTGCCAGCTCTACCCTTCAGTACACACAGACCCTCACCACAAAATTACTCCTGAAATATATTGAATTATATTTCCACTGCCGGTAGGCGGTCCCACGTACCTGCTGATGTCCAGGTCCCTCTCGGTATCGCTCCACTCGGCGTCCCTCTTCCTCGGCCGCGCTCACCCTCGGCCTTGCTTCCCCTCGGCGTCCGTCCTCCTCGGCGACTCTACACCTGCCTATCTCTCCTAACACTTTGCTCGCTCTCGCCCATACCCCCGCCCCTCTGGTACTCATCACGGTCAGGTCTGCCGCATCTGGAGTTGGAAGCCATCATCCTGAGCTCATTACGGACTCAGGGAAGTCTCATTGAGTAGAACTTCCAGGTGCGTGGGGTACTTCCACTCACTGTAGCTCCAGTACGGGGCGGAGGGTGAGTCTGCGGCCACTAGCGTCCTCTTCGCAGCTCTCCGGCCCAGCGTCTCCCTCTCAGCGAGCTCCCATATGGACTCTGCTTCTAAGCTGAGATCATCCTGATTGGTTGACTTGGACGTCATGGACATAATACTATAATAACAATAATTGAAAACGTTCCCTAGAACAGTAACAAATTACTTGTATTATGTTACAACAGAAAATAATACACATTTTCAGAAAATATACTGTATAGGAAATAGGCGGGACTTATTGTGGAGTATAGGCCAAAATACAGTCGTGTTTCTTGGTGCTGTGTGAGTGATATTATGGTGGGTGTGTTACATTATGGTGGGTGTGTCACATTATGGTTGTTGTGTCACATTATGGTGGGTGTGTTACATTATGGTGGATGTGTCACATTATGGTGGGTTTGTCACATTATGGTGGGTGTGTCACATTATATGGTGGATGTGTCACATCATTGAAATTGAAATTGAAATAAGTTTATTGAGGTAAAATACACACAAAGGGTTGAGGTAGCTCAAGCTATTCTGATGAGGTAATGTGACTAGATTGTTGCACTGTTAGGCAAATTAAGGTAAAACGGAGTAATTAACAGCCACTTAATCTCCTGGAAACTACATATTAAGTTTTATATGAGCTATCAGGGAACTCACACTATGGGTTTACTATGATAATTTCGATGATTATTCGTATTTACATCTCTTGGGAAGCCCACTTGTCTGCCACTATACTTTCTGTGAGAAAGGGGCACTAATAGTATATTATTGCGAGTGCTTTTAATGAATATTGTATATCCTGGTAATATATATACACAGATATATATATATATGTTCATTCGATACATACTGTAATATGTATCCTTGTAGTGTAAACTGTTACGTATGCCCTGGTTATGTATATTGTATTATGTGTCCTGGTAATGTTAAAAGAGGTGTGTGTGTGTGTGAGCATATAACGTTTTTACTATGACCGTGGTATTGTGACCATGTACTGTGCTGGCTCTTTGGTACATCGGTTCCTGGTATATTGATTGTCAGAGTACTTCTCCAGATTACATGCAGGTACTCTGGTAATAACTAGTCCATTACTGTCACTTCTAGTTCCTGGTACTCTGTTAAGTGTTCCATTACTATGGTTTCTACTTCCTGGTACTATATAACGTCTGCCATTACTGTGATTTCTACTTCTTGGTACTTTCATTGTCAGGTTACTGTGTTACTTTGTTGCATCCAGGTACTTTGTTGTGTCTAGACAACGAATTTATTGCTTCCTGATTAATTTTGTCAATTGTGTTCTTGCGTTTTTACTCCATTAACTGAATTACTACCTTTGCAATGCATTAATAATGGTCTTCCGTTCTCAAGACGTCTTGTTCTAATGCCGTTACTCGCTGCTTCTTGAAGCCAGTGTGACATTTGTTACCTGATGCAGTGACGTCATGACTTCTCTGTCGTGACGTGACAGTTTCTTAGGAAATATAAAGACGAGCGAGGGTGTCTGGTCAGCAGTCCAGCTCTCGCCTCCAGACTTCACACAATCATGAAGGTACCTGCAGCTGTTACACTAGAAATATGTGAATCGTTATTTAACACCGTCAAAAAATATATATGAAACGCATATTCTTCATTCGAAATTAAGGCAGAGAACTGATATGTTAGTCTACAATTTCATCCTTTTCACACCAGAACTCTGAAGTTCGGCGATCGGCTAAGCCAGTTCATGAACATAATATAAACATCCTTCCTAGTTACCATAACCATTTTTAAACAGTTTCTCAGCATCGATTCTCTCACTCTACAGACAGTTACTCTGGTGCTCAGTGTGGCGGCGGTGGTGACGGCGCGAGCGGCCCCTCAGGGATATGGAGTCCCAGGGACTGGCGGGTCCGGGGACCAGTACTCCTCTGCCCCAGCCAATTACAACTTCCAGTGGGACGTTGACGACGCTGCCTCAGGCAACTTCTACGGCCACGGGGAACAAGCAACCAACGGCAACGTCCAGGGCAGGTGAGAGGACAAAACAACAATCAATATCGTAAGAGCATCACTGATATGAAACATCAGGCAAGTCACACAACCCATTGTTCCCTTCTTCCTCGGAACTGAACACCATTTGTCATCCATGTTTACTTTGTTGCATGTCAGTGTTTGATATGATCACACGGATATATAGTTAGTTTCATTACAACAATGTACACAGTTTCTGAATGTTCAGACCTTAAATCTGGGGCTTATATTCTTCCCACAGTTACTACGTACAGCTGCCGGATACGCGCCGCCAGCTGGTGGAGTACACCGCTGACGACTCCGGCTACCACCCCGTCGTCACCTACGAAGGTCAGGCCCAGTTTGGTGGCGGCGGAGGCGGCAAGGGGTCTTCTGGATCAGGTGGAGGCTACTCCTACAGTGGTGGCAGCGGCGGCGGCAGCAGCGGTGGTGGCGGCCAGGGGTCTTCAGCACCAGCTGGAGGCTACTACCCCTAGCCAGTAGCTGTTGTGTTTAAACTTTGATCATAATATGTGAATTATTTTTGCTCTCTAAATTATGATGAAACAATTTAAATTGTGAAACAGGATCAAATACAACTGACCTTAAGTTGCCTAATATCATAATTAGGAGGCTATTGTAAATCAAACAAGAATATTATTTGATTATATTATATGAATGAAGTCATGCTGGTTTTGACAAAATATTATGTACCCTTTAATATCTAAATAAATGAATGACTAAATATCGTATTATCTACATAAACTTTCATCAACCTACCAAATATATATATATATCACAAAAAAGTATAGAATTTGTCAGCAACTGGAAATTCTATTTTATATGGCTAGAAAGTTTTCACAGGAGCAGTATATCAACCGTCAAAGTATGACAGACCATGGATATCGCAACATTTGCTGCACTTTGTAAACCATTTTATCCTTAGGCTGCGGTTCAAGCCTGTGAGAGTTTTAAGTAGATAATGTTTAGTGTAACGCTAGGGTGCTTGAGGGGCTTAAAAATCTGGACGACTGAAGACCATAGCAGCTGATGTATTGTTGCTGACTTTGACTGAAATAGGTGTCTGAGATCAGTGGTCATGTTATGACAAATTAGCGTCCCTCAGTAACCACAGGACCACTTAGAAAACAGAATGTTATCTGTGCCGCTGTATTCCGGCTGTCACCAGACTCCGTTGGTTGAGCAGAAAGGATATTTATGAATTATTCAAAGATATTGCTGATGATAGTGAATTAACTTTTGGAAATAGTAAACAAAACAGTGTAAAAATATCTGGTAATATCTTCTCCATAGTAATTATGGAGGAAGAGAAAGCCAGTCGCTCCGCTAGAATTACTATCCATCGACACTGAAACACTCACGGTTTAATTTAGCTCGTCTAATAGACACCCATTTCGCATCCTATGGATGGTAATAAACGTTAAAGAGGTACTTAATAGGTTAAGGGACTCGACCCCAAAATTTCATTTAAACAAGTTACAGCCTTGTTGAGCGAACTATATAGTTTATTGAGACAAACATCAACAATCTATTCAAAATATAAATCACTCTAATATTACCGGAGCTTTTACAACGAGTGAGAATGTCAGTTAAACTAGATTATAATGGACCGCATTCCCATCCTGTGGGCAAGTGGAAGAAAGGTTTCAATGCCATATAATGGGTTCAAATACTGAACCCCTAATGATCTCTTAGCTAACCAATTTATCTCTGTGGTAAGACAGTTACAAATAATTTACCTACCATGCACCCCCCAGACCTATGTATTGAGAGGGGATGGCAAGGATACAATCAGTTACATCTATTATAAACAGTAGATACATTTTAGATACTTGATAAGATTTCTGGTACTGTAGTTCATCATTTGAATTAAATACACATTTCTTGAACATTTGTGATAGTTTTCTTTTCTAAATGAAGTTGGAACGTAATTTGTTGACGTGATTTTCCCTTACTCTACATACAACCAAAACATGCGACATAATTAAGAAGAAAATTGCCAGACTAAAAGACTCGAAAGCCACAGATGTGGATGGAATACAATCCAAAGTCATAAAGGAACTGGCAGAAGAACTATTCCTACCACGGAAATTACTTTTCACAAAATCTGTGAATCAAGGCATAGTCCCCTTAGATGGGATATATGCAAATGTCACCCCTATTTTCAGAAAAGGCAGAAAGAACTCAGCGGAGAACTACCGTCCAATCAGCTTTCACAAATCTGCAAGCTTATGTAGAGAATCCTCAGGGAGGGATTCATTTACCATTCACCAGTGAACAATCTTGTACAATCGACACAACATGGATTTGTTCAAAATAGATCCAACCTTACAAACCTGTTCACATTTTTGGAAACGGTAACCAACTACTCAGACAAAGGATTTCCGCTTGATGTAGTATACATAGATTTTGCTCAAGCCTTTGATAAGGTACCACATGAAAGACTGACAAAGAAATTACAGGCACATGGAATAAATGGAAGAATACTAGAATGGATAAAACAATGGTTAAAACAAAGATAACAAATAATGGTGCTAAATGGGAATGAATCCGACTGGAGAAATGTAGTAAATGGAGTACCTACCACAGGGGGGTCCATTTTTGGGCCAAGCCTTTTTGTCATACACATCAATGACAGATGAGAATATTACAAACCACATCATCAAATTTACAGAAGACACAAAGATTTATGGTAAAGTGAGAAATGATAAAGTTGTTGAAGCCTTACAAAGAGATCTACATGAACTCCGCAAATGGTCAGAAGACTGGCAAATGCTTTTTAATATTGACAAATGTAAGACCTTGCATGTGGGGCACAACAACCCACACCACAACTACCAAATTAATAACATCACATTACAGTAGATTGATAAAGAAAAGGTCTTTGGAGTCAAAATCCACCACTCACTGAAAGTTGCACAACAGGTTGGGGCAGCAGTCAAAAAAGCTAACCAAACACTTGGAATAATCAAGCGTACCTTTGACTTTAAGGAAAAGAAGGTAGTGATTTAATTGTATAAATCTCTGGTGCGCCTCCATTTGGAGTATTGTATCCATGCATGGAGACCTCATCTTCAGATGGACATAGCTGCTCTGGAGAAAGTGCAACACCGGGCAACAAAAAACATTCCAGAGCCCAGTCAACTCACGTATCAGCAAGGATTGAGGGGCCACAGGGCTAACAACAATGCAAACTAGGCATGACAGGGCGGATCTTATTGAAACTTTTAAAATACTGAACAATTTGGAGGATGTTTAGCAGGAAAATCAAAAAGTCAGATGTAACACAAACAAGGAGCAACGGTTTCAAGCTCAACAAGTCACAATGTCGGACTGAGAACAGGAGATGTTTTATCACCCACAGGGTAATAAACGCATGGAACCGCCTACCCGCCGAAGCTGTAAATGTCAAACCTCTTAACTTTTTAACTACAGCTAGAAAAGATAATCAGGGAAAATGCGGGGGGAGACCTTTGACAAGCCGCTGACTTCCTGTCTTCGAGCAAACAGAACTGCTAATGTTAGTGGCCCTCAGGTAAACTGAGGTATATGGTTCTCCATAACTTCATATAATTAAAACATTTGTTTTAATTTTCTGTTCACATGTACAGACAAACAAATTATGTATAAAAATTATATTAAAAAAATTATTAAAAAAGATTAATGTTTGATTGCTGCTGTGATTTTGCTTTTAGTGCTCTTGTTACGATTCTCGGTTATGTTCTTGCGTCTTCACTCCAGTAATTGGAATTTTCTAATATTTTTAAAGAGTTATACATGTTGCTGCTAGCCTGATATGCAATACGAGTGAGGTGACACATGTATCGTGTCTTAATGTTCCTACATTTTTTTTTTTAGATAATAAATCATGAGGAGTAGAGATGGCGATGTCTTCTTTTCGATATCCTAGTGAAATAGTATGAATTATTATATTTTCAATAGGTCAAGAATGGTCTTCCCTTCACCAGATGCGCCTGTTCTGATGCCAAGACTCGTTGCATGTTGGGGCAAGTGTGAGACACGTAAACTGAAGCAGTGACACTGTGACTTCGCCGTGACGAAACAGTTTCTTGGGAAATATAAAGACGAGCGAGGGAGTCTGGCCAGCAGTCCAGCTCTCGCCTCCAGACTTCACACAACCATGAAGGTACCTGGCAGCTGTTACATAAGAAATGTGTGATTCGTTACTTAATTCAGGCATATAAGTATTCATGAAGTGCATTTTCTCAATCCTGATAAATGGCACAGAATTTATAAGTCTGGGAGTTAATCGTTGGAACACCAGAAATATCGCTTGAGGTTAGGCTAGGACTGTTCTTGTAAATAGTAAAATTATCCTTCCTATTTATCATTACAATCTCTAAACTCAGTATTGTGTTTCATGTTGCAGATAGTGGCTCTGGTGCTCAGTGTGGCGGCGGTGGTGACGGCTCGAGCGGCCCCTCAGGGATATGGAGTCCCAGGGACTGGCGGGTCCGGGGGCCAGTACTCCTCTGCCCCAGCCAACTACAACTTCCAGTGGGACGTTGACGACGCTGCCTCAGGCAACTTCTACGGCCACGGGGAACAAGCAACCGACGGCAACGTCCAGGGCAGGTGAGACGACACAACCAATATCTTAAGAACATCACAGATATGAAACTACTTCCAAGGCACACAAGTTCACTTGAGCCTCGAAACTGAACACTATTTGTCGATCCTTGTTTTTTTATCCTGGCTGCCAGCGTTTTATATGAACACTTTTGTATATATAGTTATATTTCTTCCCAACGCCATTCTGAAGATAGTCCTTCAAATACTAATCCTGGGGCTCTTGTTCCTCCCACAGTTACTACGTACAGCTGCCGGATACGCGCCGCCAGCTGGTGGAGTACACCGCTGACGACTCCGGCTACCACCCCGTCGTCACCTACGAAGGTCAGGCCCAGTTTGGTGGCAGCGGCGGCGGCAAGGGGTCTTCTGGATCAGGTGGAGGCTACTCCTACAGTGGTGGCAGCGGCGGCGGCAGCAGCGGCGGTGGCGGCCAGGGTACTTCTGCACCAGCTGGAGGCTACTACCCCTAGCCAGTAGCTCTTATGTTTAACCTTTGAGATGTTCATTATTTTTGATAAATAATTTATAGTGAACATATTATGGAACAGAGTCAAATACATTATGTTTAAGCCCAACTGACTTAAAGCTGCGTAATATTACGTCAGGAGACTTGCAAATTAGTCATGAATGTGTGTGTTGTACATTATTTACCGAAGAAGTCATGCTGGTTTTGACAAAATATTATAGATCAAGTTAATACATGTCTTAATAAATGGTTGACCAAATGTCGTGTTGTCTACATATATACTCATAAACCGCCTAAGTAAGACAGAAACGAGAAACAAATAACGCTTAGTGGACCAGCCAGAGGCTTAGGGACTGCACACGAATTTCCATGCAAAAACAAAAACAAAAATCATGAACCTGTCGTACATGACAAAATTAGGTAATTTGTCAGCTATATGTAACTATATGTAATTTATGTTTGGGGAAAGTTTTGCCAGGAGCAGTACACCATCTGTCAAAATCTGAAAGGTCATGGAAATTGGAGATAATGCTGCACTTGGTAAACTACTTTATCCTCAGGCTTGTGAGAGTGTTTAGTAGATTATGTTCAGTGAACGGCTAGCGTACTTGAAGTGTTTAGTGATCTGTGCTACTGGAGATTATGTCAGCTGATGTATTGCTGCCGACTTTGAAACAGTGACTGGGAGAACTCTGATCACTTGTTCGAGTCATCCCATTGCTAAAACTGATTTTCACAGTAACATTGTTACGGAAAATTTGCGTCTTTCAATAACCATAGAACCACTTACAATAGAGGAGACAATATTATCTGTGCCGCTGCTCTTCTCAGACTCCAGGCTCAGGAGCTTTAGCGAAGAGAATAGTTATAAGGAATTCAGTGATATTGGTGGTTATTTACTTATTTGTGAGCACAGTAGAGGTCTCCAAACATGAAATTTTGGAAATAGTAAATGATGTATTGAAGATGCCTGTTAATAACTTTTCCTTAGTGATGTGTTGAGGAACGAGTTAGATTGCTGCTTTAGTATGAGTGGTTACAATGAGGTGTTTTACCTTGAGGTGATTTCGGGGCTTAGCGTCCCCGCGGCCCGGTCGTCGACCAGGCCTCCTGAGTGACCTTGAACACTGCCTCAAACATTTTCTAATATCGCCAAATCAAAAGTAAGTTTAGTTCATTTACTTTGCAGCCCACACGTATCCTGTAAGTGGTAGGAGAAGAGGTTACAGAGGTACATAATCAGTTAAGGAACTGACTACAAATGTTCATATACCTAAGAATGTTACAGCCTTAACTTGCCAGTTACAGATTTTCAGACAAGAGGAAATGCATCCGCCAGTCTTGTGATATTCACCGGGGTATTTAACTCCTGTCCATCGCTGGGAAGATCCTGGCTCTTATCCTGGTCAACCGTCTCCTTCAACACCTTCAGCAGGGTCTTCTCCCAGAAAGCCAATGCGGCTTCCGCACAGAACGCGGAGCTGTCGACATGATATTTGCAGCACGACAGCTCCAAGAAAAATGCCAAGAGCAACATAATGACCTCTTCGTGAACCTTCGTCGACCTTCCCAAGACCTTCGATAAGGTCAGCAGAGATAGCTTGTGGAAGATAAGGGAGGAGTTTGGGTGTCCCGGCAAATTCACTGCGATTGTCTGGCAGTTCCACGATGTAATGATGGCGAAAAAATGTGAGGATGGAGACGAGTCAGATGCCATCTTGGTGACGAACGGCGTGAAGCAGGGCTGCGTTCTCGGCCCAACAATCTTCAGCATGTTTTCTTGGATAGAATACCAATCAGATACAGGATTGACAATGGGCTGTTCAACCTCAACCCGTTACAAAGGTGAAGGAAACTGTAATAAGATACTTCCTGTTCGCTGATAACTGCGCTCTCAACGCCAGCGCAGAGCAAATTATGCTGCACGAAATGGACTGCTCCTCACATGCCTGCGACAACTTCGGTCTCATCATCAGCACCAAAAAGACTGAAGTCATATACCAACCCATACCCAGAATACCCTACCAGGAACCGCACATCACTGTCAAGGGGCAGAATCTTCAGCCAGTCGACAACTTTACCTATCTTGTCACCATAATCTCAAGAGCGGAGAGCATGTGATGCAAAAAGTCAACAACATGATCGCTAAGGCCAGCCCTGCCTTTGTAAGATACCGTAAGAATGTCTGGGAGCGGAGAGGCCTCAGCCTTACCACAAAACTGAAGATTTACCGTGCAGTGGTACTCACCATCTTTCTCTACGCCAGCGTGACCTGGACTGTCTACAGCAGACACGCCAAACAGCTCAATCACTTTCACTTGAGCTGTCTCCGCAGACTCCTCCACATCAAGTAGCAGGACGAAATCCGGGACACGGAGGTCCTGGAAAGGGCCGTTAATCCCAGCGTCTACACACTCCTACATAAAACTCAGGCCAGATGGACAGGCCACGTTGTCAGAATGTCTGACTGCTAATTACCTAAACAGCTGTTGTATGGAGAATTATGCCTGGGCACTCATTCTGTTGGGGGCAGAAGAAACGATTCAACGACTGCCTCAAGGTGACCCTCAACGACCTGCACATCAACCCCAATACTCGGGAGTCGCTTGCTCAGGACGGTCTAACTTCGAATAGAGAAGTCACCACAGGGACCCGTGCAGCAAAGAACAGAGGCCCAGAGGAAACGCACCGCACGCAAACCTGGGGCACCCTTCACCCTGCAGTAGTACCCACTTACATATGTCTCGTGTGTGGGCGAGCCTTCAGGACTCATATTGGCCATCTTCGACTCCGAAGGACGAACATCATCACATATTTTCTCATCGCAGACATCAGCATCCTATAAACAGCTCATCAAACAAACATCAGTGAGATAAAATTTTAGTTAGATTAGTTTATCAAGAGCCCATATTTATCGTGTGTGTGTGAGAGAGAGGCAGAAGAGTTTCTGCGTCAAATAATGAGTTCAAATACCGTTCCCCAACGATCTTTAAACTAAGTAATTAAAATTTTTAATGAGCTAATTACATATAATTTTAATATACCTAACATGCACCCCAGCCCACTCTATTGAGCAGAGGTATAAAGGTTACAACCACCTGTTAGCACTACCAATAGACAACAGTTGGCAAACTTAAGATACTTGATAAAACTTCTGGTAGTTTATCATTATATATTAAATATTCACATGTCTTGAATATTTGTGATATATTATTTTTTTTAATAAAATGGGAATACAATTCTTTTATGTTATTATCCCTTAATCTATATATATTGTTCTCTGTAACTTTATACAGTATAATGAAAATATTTGTTTTAATTTTCTAAACACACATGCACAAAAAATTAACATGATCAATGGAGAGTTAATTTATAAATGTCCTTTCCAAGTTCTAAGTGAAAAAAATCATAACACATATAGAGAAGACTCGTGCTAGAATCACCGAGCTAAACCTTTCGGTCATATTCAATAACACATAATGTCTACACAAACGACTGCTTCCAAAAATTATTATATGACTTTGTAAAGTATACTTTGAATTGTGTCCTTTTAATGCATAATGTAATGTGTTTATGGTAATTTATAATTTGTATGGGCTTGCAAAACTTAATATTGTATTTTTAGTAATGTTCAATTTGTGATGTTATAGCATATTTAATATGCTGAAAATATATTAATATTTTCGTAATAATAAACCACACATATCTTGATGCATTGTGTGACCCGATAATGTATGATTTGTCTAGCCAGGTAAAGTATAATGTTCAGTGTGTTGTATAAATATACATTTTTACTAGTAATATTGGGAAGTGCATTCAACTCCCATATAATATTTTTCCTCCCACGATAAATCTCAAATTTCCACTGTCACCTAACTCTGAATTATTATTATTATTATTATTATTATTATTATTATTATTATTATTATTATTATTATTTATTTTTACAATATGGTTAAACTTTAGGTGCTGATCACCCCTAAAATTTTCAAAATATTTCTACCTATCATACTTTGGCTGTAATGTTCACAAATCTGAGTCCGGGATGTCATCAACAATCCGGCCCAATAACAAACAGGACAAGAAGAACCTCCCGGCACTTGTACACTGCTCCATCCGACTACACCTGTCACAGCCCCTCCCTCTCTCTCTCCCTAGGGAAAGAAAGAACCCCTCCCCCCCTCTATCCCTAAGGAAAGAGAGAGGTACAGGAAGACAGACAGAAACAGCCTACGTGTTGGTCGTTTCATCCACGAATCATGTATGTAACCAAAGACAGACATACTGGGAGACAGACATACAGGAAGACAGACAGACAAAAATACAGAGAGACAAACAGAAGACAGAGAAACATGCAGACAGGGCGAAAGACAGTTGCATAATACTGTGTGATATACTGTGTGCTGAGCTCGCATTTAAATCGTCAGTTTATGTGGCTGCTATCTCGGGGGAGGATACTGCGTGACAGTATTTATGAAGGTGTCCAGCCATTGATGAAGCTTAAGCCACCCAAAAGGAGGCACGGGCATGAACATTCCGATAAGTTTGTTGTCTTAGATTTAGCTACTCAGAACCAAATGTTCATGTAGCACGGGCTATAGTGAGCCCGTAAAATTTCTGATCCATATACACAGTCTTATAAATGTTGCTACTTTCCTGGTACGAGATACGAGTCAGGAATAACACGTATTGTTTCCTGGAACTCTTGTTGTACTCTTCTATCATGACGGGATTCTTGTATTGACATGAATTACTATCTTTTGATTAAATTAAGGATAGTCTTCCTTTATCTTCTTCTCACAGAACAAGACGTCTTGTTCTGCTGCCGAGACTTGCCGCTTCTTGAAGCAATTGAGACATTCGTTACGTGATACAGTGACGTCATGACTTCTCTGTCGTGACGTGACAGTTTCTTAGGAAGTATAAAGACGAGCGAGGGTGTCTGGTGAGCAGTCCAGCTCTCGCCTCCAGACTTCACACAACCATGAAGGTACTTGGCAGCTGTCACACTAGAAAGATGTGATTTGCTACTGACAACAGCAATAAAATTATTCATGAAGTGCATATTCTAAATACTAAAACAATGCACGAAATTCAAGTATAAATATGGGAATTCATCCTTGATAGGCAAAAGATGTAGGTCGACATTCTAGGTGAGGATTATTTTTTAACATAATATAAACATCCTTCCTAGTTATAGTTGCCATCTTTCAATACCTAAACATTGTCTCACTCTGCAGACAGTGGCTCTGGTGCTCAGTGTGGCGGCGGTGGTGACGGCGCGAGCGGCCCCTCAGGGATATGGAGTCCCAGGGACTGGCGGGTCCGGGGGCCAGTACTCCTCTGCCCCAGCCAACTACAACTTCCAGTGGGACGTTGACGACGCTGCCTCAGGCAACTTCTACGGCCACGGGGAACAAGCAACCGACGGCAACGTCCAGGGCAGGTGAGATGACACAACAATCAACATCGTAAGAACATCAAAGATATAAAATATCTTCCAAGTCACAAAACTCTGTTTCTTTCAGCATCAGAATAGAAAACTACTTGTCGATCCATGTATTAGGATGCTGGCTGTTAGCCTTTGATATGATCAATATTTTATATAAATTAATTTTCTTCCCGATATCGTACTCACCGTATAAATGGACTCCTTCAAACACTAAACATGGGGCTTATGTTCATCCCACAGTTACTACGTACAGCTGCCGGATACCCGCCGCCAGCTGGTGGAGTACACCGCTGACGACTCCGGCTACCACCCCGTCGTCACCTACGAAGGTCAGGCCCAGTATGGTGGCGGCGGCCAAGGGTCTTCTGGATCAGGCGGAGGCTACTCCTACAGTGGTGGCAGCGGCGGCGGTGGTGGCGGCCAGGGGTCTTCAGCACCAGCTGGAGGCTACTATCCCTAGCAAGGAGCTCTTTATGCTTAAACTTTGAGACGTTCATTATTTTTGCTTTTCAATTTATAGTGAGCATATTATGGAAGAGGGTGAAATACATTATGTTTAAGCCCAAACTAACCTCAACCTGCCTAATATTACATTTAGGAGGCTTGTGAGTTAGACACGAATGTTTGTGTTGTATATATTATATACCAAAAGAAGTCATGCTGGTTTTGACAAATAACTATGGATCAAGTATATATGTCTTAATAAATGGTTGACCAAATATCGTATTGTATACACTATCGTTCATGAACCTGTCACATAAAAGTATGTAATTTGTCAGCTAATGTAATTATACGTAATTTGTGTTGGTAGAAAGTTTTCCTAGAAGCAGTATATCATCTGTCAAAGGCTGACAGACCATGGATATTGCAGCAATTGCTGCACTTGGTGAACTATTTTTATTCCTAACAGTTGGTTCAAACCTGTGAAAGTTTGGAGTATATTATGTTTGGTGTACGGATAGCGTGCTTGAGGGTTTAATTATCTGAGCTACTGAAGAGCTTGTCAGTTGATATATTGTTGCTGACTGTGACTGAAGCAGATGTCTGAGAACAGTGACCATCACGTTATGAAAATTTCCGTTCCTCAGAAACCACAGAACCACTTATGTATCGCAAAAAATGTCATCTGTGCCGCTGCACTTCTCTGACTCTAAGCTCCTTTATGAATATCTTCCTTTAGCAAGGAAGATATTTATCAACAAATCAGTGATATTCGCAATTATTTATTGCTTAGTGAACACAACAGGGTTTCCTAGCATGAAATTGTGGAAATAGTTGTAGTCCTAATAGCCAGGGTTCGATTCACGGCCGAGACAGAAACAAATGGGGGAGGATATTTCACATGATGCCCCAGTTTATTTAGCAGTAAATAGGTACCTGGGAGTTAGATAGCTGCTAATGGGGGGCTTCTTGCTGGACAAATGAGTGTGTGTGTGTGTACTCACCTAATTGTGCTTGCGGGGGTTGATCTCTGGCTCTTTGATCCGGCCTTTCAACTGTCAATCAACTGATGTACAGATTCCTGAGCCTACTGGGCTCTATCATATCTACATTTGAAACTGTGCATGGAGTCACCCTCCACCACGTCACTGCCTAATGTGTGTGTGTGTGTGTATTCACCAAGTTGTGCTTGCGGGGGTTGAGCTCTGCTCTTTCGGCCCGGCTCTCAACTGCCAATCACCTTTTACTAACTACTAACTAATTGTTTCCCCAAACACACACACACAAAACAGCCCGTAACAGCCGTCTAACTCCCAAGTACCTATTTACTGCTAGGTAACAGGCGAATCAGAGTGAAACTCTGCCCATTGTTTCTCGCCGGGGACGGGAATCGAACTCTGGACCAAAGAATTGCGTGTCCAGCGTGCCGTCCACTCAGTCACCAGCCCCCTACTGTGTGTGTGTATGTGAATGTGTATGTGTATGTGTTAAGAAATATATGTAGTAAATATGAGAAAAACGGAGTCAGTGCATTAGACAACCAACGGTTAGAAAGACGGGATCCAGGAACTAACAGCTCGATCTTGCAGCCACAAATAATAAATACACCAACCCACATACAGGTCAATAAATGCAATAGGTAAGACGTAGAGGTCATTCAACCTAATTCGATTAAAAGGTCCATATTCAAATATTATAGAAGCGTGAGAAATGAGTCATTATAACAATGTTCGAACGTTTGGAAGGGCAGGGCTGGACCCTAGCTCGACCCTGCATCCACATCTAGGTGAGTGCTGGTGACAAGAGACCAAAGGGACGGTAAGTAATATAATCAAAAGAAGGCGCCGAGCCGGGGAGACTATGGAGCGACTAAAGGCAAAGAATGTAGATAAACTTCCTCCCTGTAACGACTAGAGAAAAAGTTCTTGGAGTGGATTATACGTTATATCAATTATATGAAGTTCGGTGTTATCAGCATACTTTTCACTCGCAAAAGTCAGCACATCATTCAGGAACCTAAATAGAGATTGCGATCTAAATTTAGATCGCTGTACACCACCTACGTGAGACCTGCATTAGAGTATGATAGTCAATCTGAGAAAAATAACAACATAAGGAAAGTCCAAAAAACTCAGAAGTTTAAGACGAGGCTTCTCCCAGAATTGCAAAGGATGGCACGTGGAGAGACTGAAGGAACTAAACCTGATGACATTAAAAAGGAGGACAGAGAGGGAAGACACGAAGATACAAAAATCTTTGGGGATTGATAGGAAAAAAAGAGGAAATGTTCACAATGAATTCCAAAAGTACAAAATAAATGGATATAACTCAGATGAGTCATAGAGATGTTAGAAAGTTTTATTTTATTTTAAGAATATTGGGAAAATAGAATGAACTAAATGAGAAGGCTGTAGAAGCAAACTCCACCCGAAAAGTGAGAAGCAAATATAATAGGGGAAACAGGATAGGAGTCATTGCATTAGACAACGAGCTGCTAGAAAGGCGGGATCCAAGCCAAGAGAAAGAAAGCCCCAAAGCCAAGAGGAAGGCGGACTAAAAAATAAAAAGAATGCTCTTGTTTTACGGGCTCAGTTTACATGGAAATTTGGAAATTCTACATGGAAATTTTAGTCCCGTGAAGCTAAATCTAAAACAACAAGTAGTCAATGCTCGATCCTGCAGGCACAAATAGATGAGCATAAAAAGGCGAGTACTCACATACACAACTCTTGGATGCCCGGGTAAACAACCTAGTGTTTGTACTTTAATTGTTTGTTGATCTTTTACTGAATCGTTGCTGTTTTTGTGTATTTACTCCATTAACTAATACATTCCGAATATTATATGTAGTGTTAAACATGTGAATATTTTCCTGATGCGAGATATGAGGCAGTTTTATCATGTATTGTGTTTCCTGGAAATATTGATGTATTACTGAATTATGACAAGAATTATTACCTTTTCAATACATTAAGAAAGTCCTTTTCTTCTCAAAACATCTTGTTCTCACAGCGACTCTCAGCTTCTTGAAGCAGTTGTAACATTCACTACGTGGTGCAGTAACGTCATGACTTCTATGTCGTGACGTGACAGTTTCTTAGAAAATATAAAGAAGAGCGAGGGTGTCTGGCCAGCAGTCTAGCTCTCGCCTCCAGACTTCACACAACGATGAAGGTACCTGGCAGCTGTCACACTAGAGAGATGTGATTCGCAGCTTCACATAGGCATGAAAGTATTCATCAAGTGCATATTCTGAATCCTACAACAATGCACAAAGTTTATATTTAAGTCCGAAAGTTCATCGTTGACACAACAGAACTCTGTAATTCGACGCTAGGCTAGAAATGTTCTTGAACATTTTATAAACATCCATCCTAGTTACCACTACCATCTTTCGACAGCTTCTCAGTAGGTTTCTCACTCTGCAGACAGTGGCTCTGGTGCTCAGTGTGGCGGCGGTGGTGATGGCGCGTGCGTCCCCTCAGGGATATGGAGTCCCAGGGACTGGAGGGTCCGGGGGCCAGTACTCCTCTTCCCCAGCCAATTACAACTTCCAGTGGGACGTTGACGACTCTGCCTCAGGCAACTTCTACGGCCACAGGGAACAAGCAACCGACGGCAACGTCCAGGGCAGGTAAGATGACACAACAACAAATATGGTATGAACATCACAGATATGAAACATCTTCCGAAAAACATAACTCTGTTTCCTTCAACCTCGGAATAGAAAACTACTTGTCGATCCCTGTTTAGAATGCTGGCTGTTAGCTCTTGATATGATTAATATTTTATATATATTAATTTTTTTCCCGATATCGTACTCACCATATAAATGGAGTCCTTCAAACACTAATCCTGGGGCTTATATTCCTCCCACAGTTACTACGTACAGCTGCCGGATACCCGCCGCCAGCTGGTGGAGTACACCGCTGACGACTCCGGCTACCACCCCGTCGTCACCTACGAAGGTCAGGCCGAGTTTGGTGGCGGCGGCGGCAAGGGGTCTTCTGGATCAGGTGGAGGCTACTCCTACAGTGGTGGCAGCGGCGGCGGCATCAGCGGCGGTGGTGGCCAGGGTACTTCTGCACCAGCTGGAGGCTACTACCCGTAGCCATGACCTCTTTATGCTTAAACTTTAAGACGTTTACTATTTTTGCTTTTCAGTTAAGCCCTAACTGACCTCATCTTGCCTAATATTACATTTAGGAGACTTGTAAATTAGTCACGAGTGTTTACGTTGTATATATTATATACCAAAAAAGTCATGCTGGTTTTGACAAATAACTATGGATCAAGTATATATATATGTCTTAATAAATAGTTGGCCAAATATCGTACTGTTTACATTATCGTTCATGAACCTGTTGAACATGTCACACAAAAGTATGTAATTTGTCAGCTATTGTAATTATATGTAATTTGTGTTGGAAGAAAGTTTTCCTAGAAGCAGTATATCATCTGTCATAGGCAGACAGACCATGGATATTGCAGCAATTGCTGCACTTGGTGAACTATTTTAATTCCTAGCAGTTGACCAGACCACACACTAGAAGATGAAGGGACGACGACGTTTCGGTCCGTCCTGGACCATTCTCAAGTCGATTGTGCTAGCAGTTGGTTCAAACCTGTGAATGTTTTGAGTATATTATGTTTAATGTACGGTTAGCGTGCTTGAGGGTTTAAGGATCTGAGCTACTGAAGACCATGTCAGTTGTTCTATTGTTTCTAACTGTAATTGAAACAGATGTCGGAGAACAGTGACCATCACGTTATGAAAAATTTCCGTCCCTCAGTGACCACAGAACCCCTTTTGTTTCATAGAAAATATCACCTGTGCCGCTGCACTTCTCTGACTCTAAGCTACTTTATGAATATCCTCCTTTAGCAAGGAAGATATTTATCGACAAATCAGTGAAATTCGCAATTATTTATTGGTCTGTGAACACAACAGGGTTTCCTAGCAAGAAATTGTGGAAACAGTCGTAATCCAAAGAGGCCGGGATCGATTCAGGGCCGAGACAAAAACAAATGGGCAGAGTTTATTTCACATGAAGCTCCTGTTTATGTAGCAGTAAATAGGTACCTGGGCTCTGCTCTTTTGGCCCGCCTCTCAATTGTCAATCAATCAACTTCTTTCACACACACACACACACACACACAGGAAGTAGTCCGTAACAGCTGTCTAACTCCCAGGTACTTATTTACTGCTAGGTAACAAGGATATCAAGGTGAAAGAAACTCTGCCCATTTGTTTTCTGCCATCGCCAGGGATCGAACCCGGACCCTAGGATTACGAGTCCCAAGCTCTGTCCACTCAGCCATAGGCCCACTAACTGTGTGTGTGTATTCACCGTGTTGTGTTTGCGGGGGTTGAGCTTTGCTCTTTCGGCCCGCCTCTCAACTGTCAATCAACTGTTTACAAACTACTTTTTTTTCCACACCACACACACACGCCCCAGGAAGCAGCCCGTGACAGCTGACTAACTCCCAGGTACCTATTTACTGCTAGGTAACAGGGGCATTCAGGGTGAAAGAAACTTTGCCCATTTGTTTCTGCCTCCTGCGGGAATCGAACCCGCGCTACAGAATTACGAGTCCAGCGCGTTATCCACCAGGATACGAGACCCCTGAAGTGTGTGTGTGTGTGTGTGTGTGTGTGTGTTAGAGTGAAATATATGTAGCAAATATAAAAAGTCGGTAGTCAGTACATTAGACAACCGACGGTTAGAATGACGGGGTTCGGGAGCTAACAGCTCGATTCTGCAGCCATAAATAATAAATACACCCACACACACAGGTCAATAAATGCAATAGGTAAGACATTGAGGGAATTGAAGATAATTCTATTCAAAGGTCCATTTGCAAATATTATAGGAGCGTGACGAATGAGTCGTTGCAATAATGTACGAATGTTCTTAAGGGCAGGACTGTACCCCTAGCTCTACCCTGTAGGCACATCTAGGTGAGCACTGATGACAAGAGACCAAAGGGACGGTAAGTAATAATCAAAAGAAGGCGCCAAGCCGGGGAGACTATGGAGCGACTAAAGGGAAAGAATGTGGGTAAACTTCCTCCCTGTAACGACTAGAGAAAAAGTTCTTGGAGTGGACATAACACCAAACCTCTTATAAATAGTATAACGTTATCAGCATACTCTACGCTAGCAAGTCAGAACATCATTCAGGAACCTAACTGGGGATTGCGATCTAAATTTAGATCGCTGTACACCACCTACGTGAGACCCGCATCAGAGTATGCTAGACCATCTAAGAAAAAACTATATAAGGAAAGTCCAAAAAACTTAGAAGTTTAAGACGAGGCTTGTCCCAGAACTGCAAAGGATGGCATATGAAAAGAAACTGAAATAACTAAACCTGATGACATTAAAAAGGAGGAGAGAGAGCGAAGACACGATAGAGACGTTTAAAATACTTTGTGGACTGATAGGGAAAAAGTGGAAATGTTCACAATGAATTCCAATAGGACAAAAAGAAATGGACATAACTCAGATGAGTCATAGAGATGTTAGAAAGTTTTATTTTATCACAAGAGTAATGGGAAAATTGAATGAACTAAATGAGAAGGGTGTAGAAGCAAACTCCATCCGAAACTTGAAAAGCAGATATAATAGGGAAAATAGGTCAGGAGTCATTGCATGTGACAACCGGCGGCTAGAAAGGCGGGCTCCAAGAGTTAATGCTCTTTTTTTTACGGGCTCACTATACATGGAAATTTGTAAATACTACATTTAGTCCCAATCAGCTAAATCTAAAAGGACAACAAGTTAATGCTCGATCCTGCAGGCACAAACAGATAAGCATAAATTGGCGAGAACACACATACACAACTCTGGAATGCCCGGGTATACAAATTAGTGTTTGTACTTTAATTGTTTGTTGACCTTCAACTGTATCGTTGCGGTTTTGGTGTCTTTACTCCATTAACTAATACATTCCGAACATTACATGTAGTGTTACAAATGTTGCTGTTTTCCTGATACGAGATATGAGGCAGTTGTATCATGTATTGTGTTTCCTGGAACTATTGCTGTATTATTGAATTATGACAAGAATTACTACCTTTTCAAAATATTAAGAAAGTCCTTCCCTCTCAAAACGTCTTGTTCTGACAGCGACTCGCCGCTTCTTGAAGCAGTTGTAACATTCACTACGTGGAGCAGTGACGTCATGACTTCTATGTCGTGACGTGACAGTTTCTTAGGAGGTATAAAGACGAGCGAGGTTGTCTGGCCAGCAGTCCAGCTCTCGCCTCCAGACTTCACACAACGATGAAGGTACCCGGCAGCTGTCACACTAAAAAGATTTGATTCGTAGCTTCACATAAGCATGAAAGTATTCATCAAGTGCATATTCTGAATCCTAAAACAATACACAAAGTTTATATTTGAGTCTGGGAGTTCATCCATGACATAACAGAACTGTAGTTCGACGCTTGGCTATTCTATGTTCTTGAACATATTATAAACATCCATTTTAGTTACCATTGCCATCTATAGACAGCTGCTCAGTAAGTTTCTCATTCTGCAGACAGTGGCTCTGGTGCTCAGTGTGGCGGCGGTGGTGACGGCGCGAGCGGCCCCTCAGGGATATGGAGTCCCAGGGACTGGCGGGTCCGGGGGCCAGTACTCCTCTGCCCCAGCCAACTACAACTTCCAGTGGGACGTTGACGACGCTGCTTCAGGCAACTTCTACGGCCACGGGGAACAAGCAACCGACGGAAACGTCCAGGGCAGGTGAGATGACACAACAACCAATATCGTAAAAGCATCACAGCTATGAAACATCTTCCAAGTCACATAACTGTTCCCTTCAGCCTCGGAATATAAAACTATTTGTCGATCCCTGTTTAGGATGCTGGCTGTAAGCCTTTGATATGATCAATATTTTATATATAAATTATGTTCTTTCCAATATCGTTCTCATTATATAATGGAGTCCTTTAAACACTAAACATGGGGCTTATATTCTTCCCGCAGTTACTACGTACAGCTGCCAGATACCCGCCGCCAGCTGGTGGAGTACACCGCTGACGACTCCGGCTACCACCCCGTCGTCACCTACGAAGGTCAGGCCCAGTATGGTGGCGGCGGCCAAGGGTCTTCTGGATCAGGTGGCGGCTACTCCTACAGTGGTGGCAGCGGCGGCGGCAGCAGCGGCGGTGGCGGCCAGGGGACTTCTGCACCAGCTGGAGGCTACTACCCCTAGCAAGGAGCTCTTTATGCTTAAACTTTAAGACGTTCATTATTTTTGCTTTTCAATTTATAGTGAGCATATTATGGAACTGTGTGAAATACATTATGTTTAAGCCCAAACTGACCTCAACCTGCCTAATATTACATTTAGGAGACTTGTGAATTAGACACGAATGTTTGTGTTGTATATATTATATACCAAAAGAAGTCATGCTGGTTTTGACAAATAACTATGGATCAAGTATATATGTCTTAATAAATGGTTGACCAAATATCGTATTGTATACACTATCGTTCATGAACCTGTTGAACATGTCACACAGAAGTATGTAATTTGTCAGCTTTATGACACAATATGTAATATGAGTTGGTAGAAAGAGTTCCTATGAGCAGTATATCATCTGTCAAAGGCTGACAGACCATGGATATTGCTGCATTTGGTAAACTATTTTATTCCTAGCCTTTGGGTCAAACCTGTGAGAGTTTTGAGTAGATTGTTTAGTGTACGGCTAGCGTGTTTGAGAGTTTAAGGATCTGAGCTACTGAAGACCACGTTAGTTGATCTATTGTTCCTGGCGATGACTAAAACAGGTGTCTGAGAACAGTGACCATCACGTTATGAAACATTTTCGTCCCTCAATAGCCACAGAACCACTTATGTAGCGGAGAAAATGACTGCTGTGCCGCTGCACTTCTCTGACTGTAAGCTCCTCTATGAATATCCTCCTTTAGCAAGATATTAATATATAAATCAGTGATACTCGTGATTATGTATTGGTTTGTGAACACAGTAGGGTTTCTTAGCATAAAATTGTGGAAATAGTCGTAGTCCAAAGGGGCCGGGTTCGATTCACGGCCGAGGCAGAAATAAGTGGGCAGAGTTTATATCACATGATTATCTTGAGATTATCTTGAGATGATTTCGGGGCCTTTAGTGTCCCCGCGGCCCGGTCCTCGACCAGGCCTCCACCCCCAGGAAGCAGCCCGTGACAGCTGACTAACACCCAGGTACCTATTTTACTGCTAGGTAACAGGGGCATAGGGTGAAAGAAACTCTGCCCATTGTTTCTCGCCGGCGCCTGGGATCTAACATCTCTATGAGTCATAGAGATGTTAGAAAGTTTTATTTTATCGTAAGAGTAAGGAGAAAATGGAATGAACTAAATAAGAAGGCGGTAGAAGCAAACTCCACCCGAAACTTGAAAAAGAGATATAATAGGGAAAATAGGTCAGGAGTCATTGCATTAGACAACGGGCGGCTAGAAAGCGGGCTCCAAGAGTTAATGCTCTTTTTTTACGGGCTCACTATACATGGAAATTTGTAAATACTACATGGTAATTTTAGTCCCGAGCAGATAAATCTAAAACGACAACAAGTTAATGCTCGATCCTGCAGGCACAAACAGATAAGCATAAATTGGCGAGTACACACATACACAACTCTGGAATGCCCGGGTATACAAATTAGTGTTTGTACTTTAATTGTTTGTTGACCTTTTACGGTATCGTTGCTGTTTTGGTGTCTTTACTCCATTAACTAATACATTCCGAACATTATATATCGTGTTACAAATGCTGTTATTTTCCTGATACGAGATATGAGGCAGTTGTATCATGTATTGTGTTTCCTGGAACTATTGCTGTATTATTGAATTATGACACGAATTACTACCTTTTCAATATATTAAGAAAGTCCTTCCCTCTCAAAACGTCTTGATCTGACAGCGACTCGCCGCTTCTTGAAGCAGTTGTGACATTTACTACGTGGAGCAGTGACGTCATGACTTCTATGTCGTGACGTGACAGTTACTTAGGAGGTATAAAGAAGAGCGAGGATGTCTGGCCAGCAGTCCAGCTCTCGCCTCCAGACTTCACACAACGATGAAGGTACCTGGCAGCTGTCATACTTGGAATATGTGATTTCGTAGCTTCACATATGCATGAAAGTATTCATCAAGTGCATATTCTGAATCCTAAAACAATACACAAAGTTTATATTTGAGTCTGGGAGTTCATCCATGACACAACAGAACTGTAGTTCGACGCTTGGCTAGAAATGTTCTTAAACATATTATAAACATCCATTCTAGTTACCATTGCCATCTATCAACAGCTGCTCAGTAAGTATCTCACTCTACAGACAGTTACTCTGGTGCTCAGTGTGGCGGCGGTGGTGACGGCTCGAGCGGCCCCTCAGGGATATGGAGTCCCAGGGACTGGCGGGTCCGGGGGCCAGTACTCCTCTGCCCCAGCTAACTACAACTTCCAGTGGGACGTTGACGACGCTGTTTCAGGCAACTTCTACGGCCACGGGGAACAAGCAACCGACGGAAACGTCCAGGGCAGGTAAGATGACACAACAACCAATATCGTAAGAGCATCACAGCTATGAAACATCTTCCAAGTCACATAACCCTGTTCCCTTCAGCCTCGGAATATAAAACTATTTGTCGATCCCTTTTTAGGATGCTGGCTGCCAGCCATTGATATGAAAAATATTTTACATATATTTTCTTCCCAATATCGTACTCACAATATAAATGGAGTTATTTAAACACTAAACCTGGGGCTTATATTCTTCCCGCAGTTACTACGTACAGCTGCCAGATACCCGCCGCCAGCTGGTGGAGTACACCGCTGACGATTCCGGCTACCACCCCGTCGTCACCTACGAAGGTCAGGCCCAGTTTGGTGGCGGCGGCGGCGGCAAGGGGTCTTCTGGATCAAGTGGAGGCTACTCCTACAGTGGTGGCAGCGGCGGCGGCAGCAGCGGCGGTGGCGGCCAGGGGTCTTCAGCACCAGCTGGAGGCTACTATCCCTAGCAAGGAGCTCTTTATGCTTAAACTTTGAGACGTTCATTATTTTTGCTTTTCAATTTATAGTGAGCATATTATGGAAGAGGGTGAAATACATTATGTTTAAGCCCAAACTGACCTCATCCTGCCTAATATTACATTTAGGAGACTTGTAAATTAGTCACGAATGTTTATGTTGTATATATTATATACCAAAAGAAGTCATGCTGGTTTTGACACATAACTATGGATCAAGTATATATGTCTTAATAAATGGTTGACCAAATATCGTATTGTATACATTATCGTTCATGAACCTGTTGAACATTTCACACAGAAGTATGTAATTTGTCAGCTATATGACACTATATGTAATTTGAGTTGGTAGAAAGGGTTCCTATGAGCAGTATATCATCTGTCAAAGGCTGACAGACCATGAATATTGCAGCAATTGCTGCACTTGGTAAACTATTTTATTCCTAGCCGTTGGTTCAGACCTGTGAGAGTTTTGAGAAGGTTATGTTTAGTGTACGGTTAGCGTATTTGAGGGTTAAGGATCTGAGCTACTGAAGACCACATTAGTTGATTTATTGTTCCTGGCGATGACTAAAACGGGTATCTGAGAACAGTGACCATAACGTTATGAAACATTTTCGTCCCTCAATAACCACAGAACTACTTATGTAGCGGAGAAAATGACAGCTGTGCCGCTGCACTTCTCTGACTGTAAGCTCCTTTATGAATATCCTCCTTAGCAAGGAAGATATTTATATATAAATCAGTGATACTCGCGATTATGTATTGGTTTGTGAACACAGTAGGGTTTCCTAACATGAAATTGTGGAAATAGTCGTAGTCCAAAGGGGCCGGGTTCGATTCACGGCCGAGGCAGAAATAAGTGGGCAGTGTTTATATCACATGATGATTCTGTTCATATAAGAGTAAATAGTTACCTGGGAGTTAGACAGCTGCTAATTGGGGGTTTCATGTTGGAAATATGTGTGTGTATATATACATGCACACACATGTATATGTATGTGTGTGTTAAAGAGAAATATATGTAGTAAGAATCAAAACTCGGGAAAAGCAGTCCATTAGACAACCGATGGTTAGAAAGACGGGATCCAGGAGGTAACAGTTCGATTCTGCAGCCACAAATAATAAATACACCCACTCACACACAGGTCAATAAATGCAATAGGTAAGACATAGAGATCATTGAACCTAATTCGTTTCAAAGGTCCATATGCAAATATTATAGCAGCGTGAGAAATGAGTCATTGCAATAATGTAAGGTCATTCGGAAGAGTAGTGTTGGACCCTACCTTGACCCTGCAGGAACATCTAGTTGAGTGCTGGTGACAAGAGACGAAAGGTACGGAAAGTAAGTAATTATCAAAAGAAGACGGCAAGTCAAAAAGACTATGGAGAGATTAAAGTAACAGAATGTAAGTTACTACCTCCCTGTAACGACTAGAGAGAAACTTCTTGGAGTGGACATAACACCAAACCTCATATAAATGGCGCAAAAATTAGAACATCATTCAGGAACCTAAATAGGGATCGCGATCTAAATTTAGAGCGCTGTACTCCACCTACGTGAGACCCGCAATAGAGTTTGCCAGGCCATCTGAAAAAAACTGCATAAAGAAAGTCCAAAAACTCAGAAGTTTAAAACGAGACTTGTCCCAGAATTGTAAAGGATTGCATACGAAGAGACTGAAGGAACTAAACCTGAGGACATTAAAAAAGAGGAGAGAGAGGGAAGACACGATAGAGACGTTTAAAATACTTTGGGGATTGAGAGGAAAAAAGTGGATATGTTCACAATGAATTCCAATCGTACAAAAGAAATGGACATAACTCAGATGAGTCATAGAGATGTTAGAAAGTTTTATTTTATCGTAAGAGTAAGGAGAAAATGGAATGAACTAAATAAGAAGGCGGTAGAAGCAAACTCCACCCGAAACTTGAAAAAGAGATATAATAGGGAAAATAGGTCAGGAGTCATTGCATTAGACAACCGGCGGCTAGAAAGCGGGCTCCAAGAGTTAATGCTCTTTTTTTACGGGCTCACTATACATGGAAATTTGTAAATACTACATGGTAATTTTAGTCCCGAGCAGATAAATCTAAAACGACAACAAGTTAATGCTCGATCCTGCAGGCACAAACAGATAAGCATAAATTGGCGAGTACACACATACACAACTCTGGAATGCCTGGGTATACAAATTAGTGTTTGTACTTTAATTGTTTGTTGACCTTTTACGGTATCGTTGCTGTTTTGGTGTCTTTACTCCATTAACTAATACATTCCGAACATTATATATCGTGTTACAAATGCTGTTATTTTCCTGATACGAGATATGAGGCAGTTGTATCATGTATTGTGTTTCCTGGAACTATTGCTGTATTATTGAATTATGACACGAATTACTACCTTTTCAATATATTAAGAAAGTCCTTCCCTCTCAAAACGTCTTGTTCTGACAGTGACTCGCCGCTTCTTGAAGCAGTTGTGACATTTACTACGTGGAGCAGTGACGTCATAACTTCTATGTCGTGACGTGACAGTTACTTAGGAGGTATAAAGAAGAGCGAGGATGTCTGGCCAGCAGTCCAGCTCTCGCCTCCAGACTTCACACAACGATGAAGGTACCTGGCAGCTGTCATACTTGGAATATGTGATTTCGTAGCTTCACATATGCATGAAAGTATTCATCAAGTCCATATTCTGAATCCTAAAACAATACACAAAGTTTATATTTGAGTCTGGGAGTTCATCCATGACACAACAGAACTGTAGTTCGACGCTTGGCTAGAAATGTTCTTAAACATATTATAAACATCCATTCTAGTTACCATTGCCATCTATCAACAGCTGCTCAGTAAGTATCTCACTCTACAGACAGTTACTCTGGTGCTCAGTGTGGCGGCGGTGGTGACGGCTCGAGCGGCCCCTCAGGGATATGGAGTCCCAGGGACTGGCGGGTCCGGGGGCCAGTACTCCTCTGCCCCAGCTAACTACAACTTCCAGTGGGACGTTGACGACGCTGTTTCAGGCAACTTCTACGGCCACGGGGAACAAGCAACCGACGGAAACGTCCAGGGCAGGTAAGATGACACAACAACCAATATCGTAAGAGCATCACAGCTATGAAACATCTTCCAAGTCACATAACCCTGTTCCCTTCAGCCTCGGAATACAAAACTATTTGTCGATCCCTTTTTAGGATGCTGGCTGCCAGCCATTGATATGAAAAATATTTTACATATATTTTCTTCCCAATATCGTACTCACAATATAAATGGAGTTATTTAAACACTAAACCTGGGGCTTATATTCTTCCCGCAGTTACTACGTACAGCTGCCAGATACCCGCCGCCAGCTGGTGGAGTACACCGCTGACGATTCCGGCTACCACCCCGTCGTCACCTACGAAGGTCAGGCCCAGTTTGGTGGCGGCGGCGGCGGCAAGGGGTCTTCTGGATCAAGTGGAGGCTACTCCTACAGTGGTGGCAGCGGCGGCGGCAGCAGCGGCGGTGGCGGCCAGGGGTCTTCAGCACCAGCTGGAGGCTACTATCCCTAGCAAGGAGCTCTTTACGCTTAAACTTTGAGACGTTCATTATTTTTGCTTTTCAATTTATAGTGAGCATATTATGGAAGAGGGTGAAATACATTATGTTTAAGCCCAAACTGACCTCATCCTGCCTAATATTACATTTAGGAGACTTGTGAATTAGACACGAATGTTTATGTTGTATATATTATATACCAAAAGAAGTCATGCTGGTTTTGACACATAACTATGGATCAAGTATATATGTCTTAATAAATGGTTGACCAAATATCGTATTGTATACATTATCGTTCATGAACCTGTTGAACATTTCACACAGAAGTATGTAATTTGTCAGCTATATGACACTATATGTAATTTGAGTTGGTAGAAAGGGTTCCTATGAGCAGTATATCATCTGTCAAAGGCTGACAGACCATGAATATTGCAGCAATTGCTGCACTTGGTAAACTATTTTATTCCTAGCCGTTGGTTCAGACCTGTGAGAGTTTTGAGAAGGTTATGTTTAGTGTACGGTTAGCGTATTTGAGGGTTAAGGATCTGACCTACTGAAGACCACATTAGTTGATTTATTGTTCCTGGCGATGACTAAAACAGGTGTCTGAGAACAGTGACCATAACGTTATGAAACATTTTCGTCCCTCAATAACCACAGAACCACTTATGTAGCGGAGAAAATGACAGCTGTGCCGCTGCACTTCTCTGACTGTAAGCTCCTCTATGAATATCCTCCTTAGCAAGGAAGATATTTATATATAAATCAGTGATACTCGCGATTATGTATTGGTTTGTGAACACAGTAGGGTTTCCTAACATGAAATTGTGGAAATAGTCGTAGTCCAAAGGGGCCGGGTTCGATTCACGGCCGAGGCAGAAATAAGTGGGCAGTGTTTATATCACATGATGATTCTGTTCATATAAGAGTAAATAGTTACCTGGGAGTTAGACAGCTGCTAATTGGGGGTTTCATGTTGGAAATATGTGTGTGTATATATACATGCACACACATGTATATGTATGTGTGTGTTAAAGAGAAATATATGTAGTAAGAATCAAAACTCGGGAAAAGCAGTCCATTAGACAACCGATGGTTAGAAAGACGGGATCCAGGAGGTAACAGTTCGATTCTGCAGCCACAAATAATAAATACACCCACTCACACACAGGTCAATAAATGCAATAGGTAAGACATAGAGATCATTGAACCTAATTCGTTTCAAAGGTCCATATGCAAATATTATAGCAGCGTGAGAAATGAGTCATTGCAATAATGTAAGGACATTCGGAAGAGCAGCGTTGGACCCTAGCTTGACCCTGCAGGTACATCTAGTTGAGTGCTGGTGACAAGAGACGAAAGGTTCGGTAAGTAAGTAATTATCAAAAGAAGACGGCAAGTCAAAAAGACTATGGAGAGATTAAAGTAACAGAATGTAAGTTACTACCTCCCTGTAACGACTAGAGAGAAACTTCTTGGAGTGGACATAACACCAAACCTCATATAAATGACGCAAAAATTAGAACATCATTCAGGAACCTAAATAGGGATCGCGATCTAAATTTAGAGCGCTGTACTCCACCTACGTGAGACCCGCAATAGAGTTTGCCAGGCCATCTGAAAAAAACTGCATAAAGAAAGTCCAAAAACTCAGAAGTTTAAAACGAGACTTGTCCCAGAATTGTAAAGGATTGCATACGAAGAGACTGAAGGAACTAAACCTGAGGACATTAAAAAAGAGGAGAGAGAGGGAAGACACGATAGAGACGTTTAAAATACTTTGGGGATTGAGAGGAAAAAAGTGGATTTGTTCACAATGAATTCCAATCGTACAAAAGAAATGGACATAACTCAGATGAGTCATAGAGATGTTAGAAAGTTTTATTTTATCGTAAGAATAAGGAGAAAATGGAATGAACTAAATAAGAAGGCGGTAGAAGCAAACTCCACCCGAAACTTGAAAAAGAGATATAATAGGGAAAATAGGTCAAGAGTCATTGCATGTGACAACCGGCGGCTAGAAAGGCGGGCTCCAAGAGTTAATGCTCTTTTTTACGGGCTCACTATACAAGGAAATTTGGAAATGCTACATTTAGTCCCAATCAGCTAAATCTAAAACGACAACAAGTTAATGCTCGATCCTGCAGGCACAAACAGATAAGCATAAATTGGCGAGAACACACATACACAACTCTGGAATGCCCGGGTATACAAATTAGTGTTTGTACTTTAATTGTTTGTTGACCTTCAACTGTATCGTTGCGGTTTTGGTGTCTTTACTCCATTAACTAATACATTCCGAACATTACATGTAGTGTTACAAATGTTGCTGTTTTTCTGATACGAGATATGAGGCAGTTGTATCATGTATTGTGTTTCCTGGAACTATTGCTGTATTATTGAATTATGACAAGAATTACTACCTTTTCAATATATTAAGAAAGTCCTTCCCTCTCAAAACGTCTTGATCTGACAGCGACTCGCCGCTTCTTGAAGCAGTTGTGACATTTACTACGTGGAGCAGTGACGTCATGACTTCTATGTCGTGACGTGACAGTTACTTAGGAGGTATAAAGAAGAGCGAGGATGTCTGGCCAGCAGTCCAGCTCTCGCCTCCAGACTTTACACAACGATGAAGGTACCCGGCAGCTGTCACACTTGGAAGATGTTATTTCGTAGCTTTACATATGCATGAAAGTATTCATCAAGTGCATATTCTGAATCCTACAACAATACACAAACTTTATATTTGAGTCTGGGAGTTCATCCATGACACAACAGAACTGAAGTTCGATGCTAGGCTAGAAATGTTCTTGAACATATTATAAACATCCATCCTAGTTATCATTACCATCTTTCAACAGCTTCTCAGTAAGTTTCTCACTCTGCAGACAGTGGCTCTGGTGCTCAGTGTGGCGGCGGTGGTGACGGCGCGAGCGTCCCCTCAGGGATATGGAGTCCCAGGGACTGGCGGGTCCGGGGGCCAGTACTCCTCTGCCCCAGCCAACTACAACTTCCAGTGGGACGTTGACGACGCTGCCTCAGGCAACTTCTACGGCCACGGGGAACAAGCAACTGACGGCAACGTCCAGGGCAGGTGAGATGACAACATCGAAAGAGCATCACATATTTGAAATATCTTCCAAGTCTCTATTCCCTTTAGCCTTAGAATAGAAAACTTTTTCTCGATCCCCGTTTAGAATGTTTGGTGGCAGGGTTTAATATGCTCTCTATTGTATATAAATTTATTTTCTTCCCGACATCGTATTCAGCTTATAAGTGTATATAAATACGACATCGTATTCATCTACCAAACACTAAATCTGTTACAAATATTCCATCTACAGTTACTACGTACAGCTGCCGGATACCCGCCGCCAGCTGGTGGAGTACACCGCCGACGACTCCGGCTACCACCCCGTCGTCACCTACGAAGGTCAGGCCCAGTTTGGTGGCGGCGGCGGCGGCAAGGGGTCTTCTGGATCAGGTGGCGGCTACTCCTACAGTGGTGGCAGCGGCGGCGGCACCAGCGGCGGTGGCGGCCAGGGGTCTTCAGCACCAGCTGGAGGCTACTACCCCTAGCCAGCTCTTCTGTTTAACTGTTAATATATTTGTTATTTTTGCTTTTTAATTTATAGTGAACATATTATGGAACAGAGTCAAGTACATTATGTTTAAGCCCAACTGACTTAAAGCTGCATAATATTACGTTTAGGAGACTTGCAAATTAGTCATGAATGTTTGTGTTGTATATTATTTACCGAAGAAGTCATGCTGGTTTTGACAAAATATTATGAATCTAGTTAATACATATCTTAATAAATGGTTGACGAAATATATTGTCTACATTAACTTTCCTGAACCTGTCGTACATGTCACATATATCTGACAAATTTCATGTATGTAATTTGTCAGCTACTGGCATTTCTAATTTGTGCTAGTAAAAGTTTTCCAACGAGTAGTATATCATTTGTCAAAACTTCATAGAACGTGACACACAGAAATCACAATAACTTGATGCATCAAATGAACAAATCCACAAGGGCCGTGGCAAGGATTGGAACAGGATCCAGCAAGTTCAGTAGAACTTCGGTTTCAACTCTTTTACCATGTCGTAGCTCAGTCGATTAAGGCAGCGTCTGGGATGCTCTTGGACGCAGGTTCGAATCCTCGTCAAGGCCCTTGTGGATTTGTTCATAGAACGTGGTTTTTAGAGCAATTTCTGCACATGGTAAACGATTTTATCCGTAGGCTGCTGCTAACTTTTGTGAGAGGTTTGAGTAGACCGTGTTTTGTGTACGGCTAGTGTGCTTGAGGGGTTTCAAGATCTAGACTACAGGGGCCAGATTCCCGTAGCAGTTATACACGTACTTAGGAACGTTTTTCTTCTTAGCATCTTCGTAGCGGCTACGTCGGGATTCAAGTAGGTATTTAAGTATGAAAATCTTCGTAAGTAAACACCGTCGCGCTAAGAGTGCTCTCGACCAGTCATATCCAGCTTACGTAAAGCTACAACTAAATTTTTCTCTACTACACAAACCGGAGGATAAATTTTAACATAAACATATTTCTGGCGAGTATTATCAAGGAGTTCTTCGTATTAACTAAATATGCATTCTCTGCTTGAAACTTGCAGTAAATATGACTTTTATGATGTTAGAATTAGTTTTATAATAGCAAGATATTATTCCAGTAGTTATTAAATAAATAAACACTGGTCAACATGAAATATTAGAGTAGGTGATGATCCCGGGGCTGGTGGGAGCATTTACTATCACCAAATGCCTCTGTTCACCGAGCAATAAGTATAGCTAGAAGTGTACCTTAGCTATACATACCCCTTTTTTAATTTATTTTGTTTTGTTTTATTTTGAAATTAAAGCTGGGTGAGACATAGAAGTATAATATGCTGCACAAATGATGTTAGGTAAGGGTAAAAACTTCAAAAACGTTTGTCATTGAATTCTTAGGCCTATAATTATGACTATAACTGAATATTAAGGCCTGTTAAAAAAAAGAGAGGGGAAAACCTTGTATTTTCTTATCACCCGAGAATGAACCATGTAGGTTCGAAACGTTTTGTAAAGTTTATAATATGTGTAATACATTCTACAGTTACTTTTTTTTTCTTCACGTTGAACGAAGATGCCCTTTGGAGAACTCCTTTTCCAATTAAACCAAGATGCTAGAACACTAGTTAGAGGGATAGAAGCCCTAAACAAGAAAATAATCAATACAGAATATGCAGTCATATTCAATGAAACATATATATATATATATATATATATATATATATATATATATATATATATATATATATATATATATATATATATATATATATATATATATATATCACTAATTTATTGTATATATTTATATATATATATATATATATATACGAAAGTACTTAAGGAAATTTCCTGTTTACCTCAGTGTTGCACAACCAGGTGGCGCTGCCACCCACAGGGAAGTAGCCAAATCCCGTAAGTATAGAGAACTGGATCACCACTACAATTTTGTCCCCATTGCTTCTGAGACACTTCTGAGACCTGGGGTAAAAGTGCTACCAGTTTTTTGAAGGAACTGGGTTCTAGGCTCATTGAAACAACAAGGGACCCAAGAGCTGCAAGCTTTCTTTTCCTGCGCCTCAGTGTGGCGATACAGAGGGGAAATGCGCACTGCATCCAGGGTTCCTGCCCGCCATCTGAGGAGCTGGAGGAATTCGACAACCTATGATAACCATCTTTGTAACCCATATGTAACTCCTTTTTTGTAACACAGTTCAAATAAAGTAAATATATATGTGTACATACAAAAGAATTGGGGTGGTAGGAGAAGATAATATTAGTGCTCAGTGAGAAACCACAAGGTCTCCTCTGAATACTTTTTATTTTCTTCTCCGAGGCTATGGGTCCCCACATTGGCACCAGAGGTGGTACCCTCACAAACTTTATATATATATATATATATATATATATATATATATATATATATATATATATATATATATATATATATATATATATATATATATATATATATATATATATATATATATATATATATATATATATATATATAATATATTTTGGTAGTATATTTTGGTAGCAGTCTTTCCTGTAGACATATATTATTATATATGACCGAAAAAGTAAGATTAATAATTCTAACACGAATTTTCTCGATCTTTCTTACGTTTCTTTTCACTGTTGATGGTAATTCAAAGATCAATTCTCCAAAATTCATTTTTATTTCTAGTCTGACGCGACACATGAGCGCGTTTTGTAAAACTTATTACATTTTCAAAGACTTTGGTTTACAAACACACAACTGAAACTGAATAGAGCTTACACATCTTCGATTTTATATCTACATTTGGGTGAGGTGGATGAGGTGAAAACAAACTTTCAACAATGGGTATTGAATGGGTATTAAACTCAAACACAAGACAGAACACGAAACAATGGGTATTGAATGGAAGTAATTGTAGAAAGCCTATTGGTCCATATTTCTTGATGCTTCTATATTGGAGCAGAGTCTTGAAGTGGGTAGAATATAGTTGTGTATTAATTGGCTGTTGATTGCTGGTGTTGACTTCTTGATGTGTAGTGCCCCGCAGACGTCGAGCCGCCTGCTATCGCTGTATCTATCGATGATTTCTGTGTTGTTTGCTAAGATTTCTCTGGTGATGGTTTGGTTGTGGGAAGAGGCTATATGTTCCTTAATGGAGCCCTGTTGCTTATGCATCGTTAAACGCCTGGAAAGAGATGTTGTTGTCTTGCCTATATACTGATTTTTTTGAGTCTTACAATCCCCAAGAGGGCATTTGAAGGCATAGACGACGTTGGTCTCTTTTAAAACGTTCTGCTTTGTTTCTGGAGAGTTTCTCATGAGTAGGCTGGCCGTTTTTTTGGTTTTATAGTAAATCAGAAGATACAACTGACAATTTACTATAAAACCAAAAAAACGGCCAGCCAACTCGTCTGTTGACCTTTAACTGTGTCGTTGATGTAATTGTCTTTGTTCAATTAACTAGTACACTCCTATCATTACACCCAGTTATATAAATGTTGCTACTTTTCTGATGCGAGACAGTTGTATCATGTACTGCGTGTCTTCGTACTTTTGCCGAGAACTTGTATCGTGATTCTTGCACTGATATGAATTACTTCATATCAGTACAAGTAATATGAATTAATTGTACTGAAAATTATTATGTTCTCCTCACAAGATGTCGTGTTCTGATGCCGCGACTCGCCGCTTCTTGAAGCAGTTGTGACATTCAATACCTGGTGCAGTGATGTCATGACATGTCGTGATGTGACAGTTTCTTGGGTAATATAAAGACGAGCGAGGGTGTCTGGCCAGCAGTTCAGCTCTTGCCTGGGAACTTCACACAACCATGAAGGTACCTGGCAGCTGTCACACTAGAAAGAAGTGATTCGTTACTTAACACAAGCATAGCAATGTTCATGAAGTGCATATTTTCATTTCAAACAAAATGCACAAGTTGATATTTAAGTCTAGGTGTTTATCATTGTCACACCTGAAGTCTGTAGCTTGACGCTAGGATAGGACTGTTCTTTAACGTAATATAAAATATCGTTCCAAGTTACCGCTGCCATCTATCAACAGCTCAGTACTGCATCTTACTCTGCAGACAGTGGCTCTGGTGATCAGTGTGGCGGCGGTGGTGACGGCGCGAGCGGCCCCTCAGGGATATGGAGTCCCAGGGACTGGCGGGTCCGGGGGCCAGTACTCCTCTGCCCCAGCCAACTACAACTTCCAGTGGGACGTTGACGACGCTGCCTCAGGCAACTTCTACGGCCACGGGGAACAAGCAACCAATGGCAACGTCCAGGGCAGGTGAGATGACACAATCAATATCATAAAAGCATCACAGATATGAAACTGCAGGTCAGTTAAAGAGAGCTTCAGAGTGAATTTAACATCATTTGTCCATACCTGCTTACAATGCTGGCTTTCAGCGTTTATACGATCAGTATTGTATATATAATTATATTCCTCCAGAATACAGTCGTTGAAACACTAAACCTGGGGCTCTTGTTCCTCCCACAGTTACTACGTACAGCTGCCGGATACCCGCCGCCAGCTGGTGGAGTACACCGCTGACGACTCCGGCTACCACCCCGTCGTCACCTACGAAGGTCAGGCCCAGTATGGTGGCGGCGGCGGCGGCAAGGGGTCTTCTGGATCAGGTGGAGGCTACTACGCCTAGCCAGGAGCTCGTGTTTAACCGCCATGTTTAGGCCCAACTGACCCCATATCTCCTAATATATTACAATTAGGAGACTATTGTAAATTAGTCACGAATATTTGTGTTATATAATATATAAAAAAAGTCATGCTGGTTTTGACAATATAGTATGTACCAATTCATAGGTAAATAAATGAATGACCAAATATCATATTGTCTACACTAACGTTAATAAACCTGACATACATGTCACACACCAGTTTAGGTATTTGTCAGCACTGAAAAATTAAATTTTTTCGTGAAGGAAGTTTTCACATGTGTAGTATATCAAAATACTAAGTTTTAGAAGGCCTTGTTCAAAAGTACATTTAATAACGAGAGGACAATTATCCCAAGGTTCTGCATATTCAACAGTGTTATCATCACATACAAAAAGTATTATAGAACTCTGTTCATCGGTTTAAGCCGTACTGACCATCATTATCGGAGCGCTATTGATATCCTTTCTAACCCAATTAACTCTTCTCTTGTTGGTTCGTTTATAGTACTGGAGATCATGTCAGCTGACATTTTGTTGCTGCCGCAATCTGGTAGACTTCTTGATGACAATAACAATATAATTTAATGATAAATTACCCATCCCTTCAGTACCCATGGAGCCATTTAGAGAAGAGAATGACATTTGCTCAATCATTTAAGCAAATATAATAGTTTTCAATAATTCAAGGATATTGCTGAATATTTAATTATTGGCGATGGCAATATCGTCTAAATGAATGAACTTATGGAAATATTGAAAGATACAGCAAAGAATATTGGCAGTAACTTGTCCCTGGTCATATATAAAGTGGCTGTTGTGTGATCACAATAAGCTTGCATTGGCTAGCCATGCCTCCCTCAAACTCATTTTCAATCTCACAAACCCAAAGAAACATAATTTTTTTCCTTAATCTACATATACATTTTCCTATAACCTAATCATGAAGAAATTTTTCGAAATCAAATTAGTGCTTTCATAGAGACGAATGTCGTCTATATATTTTACACACCCAATTGGGCATAGTCAGCCCCATTGATCTCAATATATAGGCAGGACGACAACATCTATTTTTTTAAGATATATAACGATTCACAAACAAGGCTCTTTCAAAGATCAGATCAGATCAATTCAACATACAACCAAAAAATTATCAGGAATTATATATATATATATATATATATATATATATATATATATATATATATATATATATATATATATATATATATATATATATATATGCTTTATTATGCATTTGATGGTTACAAGATATACATGGGTTGATACAAAAATAATAATGCAAAAAGGTGCTTAAAGGTTATGGATCTCTTGAAGAACACAACAATGGGAAACATTGATGAATGTCACAGACGGGTTCGATCATTGTTGCAAGTCAAACATTTCTTCGAATTCCTCTGAAGTTGGACTAGTGCCCAAGACGCAACAGGCATTTCCCCTCTGAATCGCAACACTGAGGCGCTGGAACAAGAAACTTTTTGCTCTCTGGACTTTTGTAGCGCTGATCAATTTGTCCCCCAATTCCTTCAGGAACTTCAATGCACATTTTCCCCACGAACCGAGGGTCTCCGAGCCGATCGGAACAAAGCTGTAGCAGTGTGCTAGACCTCTGTATTTAATAATTTTCTGCGATTCCATGAAAGAAGCAGCACCACCGCTTTCACGTGTGCTGTAGTGGAGGTAGGTACTGGCCACTGTGGCAGCGCACGTGTAGTCCCATACCACTTGCTTACCATCCTTCCAAGGTAGCAAGGTGACCCCATCAGGGCGCTATATATATATATATATATATATATATATATATATATATATATATATATATATATATATATATATATATATATATATATATATATATATATATTAGTAAATTTTGGTAGCAGTCTTTCCTGTAGACATTTATTATTAAATATGACCGAAAAAGTAAGATTAATAATTCTAACACGAATTTTCTCAATCTTTCGTACATTTCTTTTCACTGTTGGTGGTAATTCAAAAATCAATTCTCCAAAATTCATTTTTATTTCTAGTCTGACGCGACACTTGAGCGCGTTTCGTAAAACTTATTACATTTTCAAAGACTTTAGTTACACATACACAACTGAATAGAACTTACACATCTCCGATTTGTTTATATCTACATTTGAGTGAGGTGGATGGGGTGAGGTGGTATTTAATAGGGTATTAAATTCATCAACACAAGACAGAACACGAAACAATGGGTATTGAATAGAAGTGATTGTAGAAAGCCTATTGGTCCATATTTCTTGATGTTTCTATATTGGAGCGGAGTCTTGAGGTGGGTAGAATATAGTTGTGCATTAATTGGCTGTTGATTGCTGGTGTTGACTTCTTAATGTGTAGTGCCTTGCAAACGTCAAGCCGCCTGCTATCGCTGTATCTATCGATGATTTCTCTGTTGTTTACTAGGATTTCTCTGGCGATGGTTTGGTTGTGGGAAGAGATTATATGTTCCTTAATGGAGCCCTGTTGCTTATGCATCGTTAAACGCCTAGAAAGAGATGTTGTTGTCTTGCCTATATACTGGGTTTTTTGGAGCTTACAGTCCCCAAGAGGGCATTTGAAGGCATAGACGACGTTGGTCTCTTTTAAAGCGTTCTGCTTTGTGTCGGGAGAGTTTCTCATGAGTAGGCTGGCCGTTTTTCTGGTTTTATAGTAAATCGTCAGTTGTATCCTCTGATTTTTGTCTGTAGGGATAACGTTTCTATTAACAATATCTTTCAGGACCCTTTCCTCCGTTTTATGAGCTGTGGAAAAGAAGTTCCTGTAAAATAGTCTAATAGGGGGTATAGGTGTTGTGTTAGTTGTCTCTTCAGAGGTTGCATGGCGTTTCACTTTCCTTTTTATGATGTCTTCGACGAAACCATTGGAGAAGCCGTTGTTGACTAGGACCTGCCTTACCCTACAGAGTTCTTCGTCGACTTGCTTCCATTCTGAGCTGTGGCTGAGAGCACGGTCGACATATGCGTTAACAACACTCCTCTTGTACCTATCTGGGCAGTCGCTTTTGGCATTTAGACACATTCCTATGTTCGTTTCCTTAGTGTAGACTGCAGTGTGGAAACCTCCGCTCTATTCCATGACTGTTACATCTAGAAAGGGCAGCTTCCCATCCTTTTCCATCTCGTATATATATATATATATATATATATATATATATATATATATATATAAATATATATATATACTGTCACCTCTGTCAATGCATATTTGCTTTCCTTCTGCCTCTAAGTATGCTAAAGAGTACTTCAGTGAAACTTGTCATTTAGGCCAATATAAATATTCAACTTCATTTCATTTTTTATTTCCATCCCAAGTCCCAAATGAAGATAAATCTAAGAAGAAATGAAGAGATTCGTGGTAGAATCACTTACCAAAACCTTTCGGTCACTCATAATAAGATATGTCCACTTTACCAGGTCATATATTTATATAAAACTTAGTAACGTATGCTGTCTCTCATGGCGTTTTAATGTACAATGTATTGTATATATTGGTATTGTATAATTTGTGTGGACTGGAACTGAATACTTTATTTGTCCTCTTGTCGTATTTTTTGTAAAACCTCAAAATGTATGCACCAAAAAATCATTAACGTGATCATTGAGAAAATCAATGGGAATCATGTTTCTTCTCACTGATACACCACGTGAGTGTGATTTTATTGTGCATTTGAAGAGGCGCATTGGAGGCAAAACTCCTTGACCACAGCGAGAGTGCACGGGGAGGGGGCGGGGTGGATGTGTGAAACCCCTGATTGGGCTTCATTCGAAGCCTCAGGACCCCTAGAGGATTCAGTTGATTCCCAGGTTGCCTTGCTTTTGACCATGCGTAGTGTAGGCCGTGGTGAATAGAGCCCTACACCCTGTTGACCATGGTGTAGTGAGCTAGGGGCCCTGTTCTTCAACCTATGGTCCTGGCGGCCCACAAAAAAAAAATTCGCCCGAATCATGTAGCCGTTGCAAGATTCAGACGATTGGAAGGGACTAGTAGTCCCTTCTTGGAAGATATGTAATCATGCGCACTTTATTCTCGATAAAAACAAAAGATGATCAAGGTGTCTTCTGATGTCACTCTGTCGTCCAGACATAAAATGCAATCATTGTCTCAATTTGGGATATCACTCGAAAAAGAATATCCATCTCTTGAGTTATAAAGCTATCACAATGTTGGTCGTTTTTTCTACTTCCTATTTGAGTGAGGAGACTTTTTCACTTGTGTTAGCAATAAAAACCAAACAAAGAAATTGAATGTATGTTATTGGAGCGCTTTGTCTACCAAAAACAACGCTGCAGTCACCTATATAAAATTTTCTAACAAAGAAGCAGCAGCAGATGTCACATTAACATAAAAAAATTTAATTTTATAACAATAGATTTATCAAATAAAATACTATCTACATTGGTTTTTATTTCTGTCTTAGCCGTCAGCCGGTCCACGAAATATTTCTCCTATTTTCGCGGGTCCGCAGGAATACAATGGCGCTGGTCTGGGGCGTGGGCTTGGGAGTACCAAGTGTGCAGGTTCGAATCCTCCTCACGGCTCCTACTCTTTTCCCTCAAATGTATAATTTTTCCAATACTGACAATGAATACATAGGTCTATTTTCCGTGGAATGGAAAGGTATATTGTTCACGACCTGGTGATGCATATTGTACTCTCTATCTTAATAAAATGTCATGTATTCTTTATACGACCAAATAATGTATGCTTTGTTCTGGCCACGAAATATATAACGTTTGGTGTGTCGAGGAAATGTACATATTATTGTGTACTAATATTGTGCTGATAACGTCCTGATAATGTATCCAGTATTTAACCCGCTGGACCACACTGACTGTTCAAAAGAATTGGAAGTCGTCAGACCGTTAACACAATCCCTGACAGCACTCGGTCAATTTTGGGGACATATATTTCATCGAATCACCTCGCATGTTGGGGCCATGTGAGTAATATAAATGCGAACAAGCTTGAATGGTCCCCAAGCCAATATGCAACCAGAAACGTGAAAAGTTCAAGCTTATTTGCATTTGTGTTACTTGTAATTCTTGAAACTTTATAAC